CTAATGAAATCTTATATAAATATAAACTAATGATCCGTCCGGAACTATTCTGGAGGTCATTCCCCAGAAAGTAGAAAGTGTACAGGGCCTTTAGATAATCGCGTTTATTTGCTTCCATAATATCCAAAGCGTCCGAATCGCCAAGCACCGCAGCCTATTATGCCTTCCGACGCCATGTCAACCTTCACGGTAAGTGATGCTGTGATGGGCATTCAATCAAGACCAATAGTTTGTTTCTTTTCATTTTTTAAGAAATCGTTCATTTCATCAAAGAACCGATTGATGTGAGCCGCCGTTGAAAACTTCAAATCCACCTTTCTCCAGCGACATTGGCTGGAGCTTTGCCTATCCACGTATCCAGCACCCGCAATGTTTCATCTACGGACGAGTGTTTTCACCTGTAGTGTGAGAAAAAAACACTTCGCAAACAGTACGGCTCACGACAGCCCTGTGTCTTCGCGCCTAGAGGCCGCTGCTGCAGCAGCTGAGCGGCAGGAGGTGTCAGGGGGTGATGAGACGAAAATCTTTTGCTTGGTCGCGTGGTTTTTGCTGCTGCCCGTATCGTGGTGTGGGTGCGCGCTTGCGGCCGCCGTGGTCAGCGGCATTCAGCGGCAGCAGGGCGGTGGACTGCAGGTCTGGGCGAGAGCCAACACGGCAGACTAGCCGCGCGGCAGGGGAGGGTAGTAGGGCCGCGTAGGGGAGAGGCCGGGAGCCCGGGAGGGCAAGCCTACTCCTGCAAGCAGGCCAGCAGCCGGGCAGCTATAGCCTCCTAGCGCTGGGAACCAGAGGATCCGCCGACGTGCCTTGCTGGATTCGTTTGGGTGGCCAACCATTTAAGGGGGTGTTTGGTTCCAGGGACTAATTTTTAGTCCCTGTCACATCGGATGTTTGACACTAATTTGGAGTACTAAATATATTCTAATTACAAAACTAATTACACAGATGGAGACTAATTTACGAGACGAATCTATTAAGCCTAATTAATCCATCATTAGAGTATATTTACTGTAGCACCACATTGTCAAATCATGCACTAATTAGGCTTAATAGATTCGTCTCGCAAATTAGTCTCCATCTATGTAATTAGTTTTGTAATTAAAATATATTTAATACTCCAAATTAATGTCCAAACATCCGATGTGACAGGGACTAAAAAATAGTCCCTGAAACCAAACACCCCTAAATCTAGTGCATAAACGGCATGTTCGGCTCTTGTCGTCTCACTTGATTTAACTTATTCTCTCAAGTAATACTATTGAATTAGTCGAAACCAGTCGATACACAGTAGTTTTATGTACCAGCCGAACATGCTGTTGTTTAAATGTGTCACGTCGGACATTGCGTATCGCTTGAGATGTTCGAATATTAATAAAAAATAAATTACAGAATCCGTCAGTAATATGCGAGATGAACTTATTAAGCCTAATTAATTCGTCATTAGCACATGCATTAATGTATCATCACATTATCAAATCATGGATTAATTAGGATTAAAAGATTTATCTTACAAATTAGTCGCAAACTGTGTAATTAGATACTTTTTTACTCTATATTTAATATTATATGCATGTGTCTAAACATTTGATGGAATATGAAGTAAACTTTAGGGAAAGGAACTAAACGTGGCCTAAGTATGCTCAAAGAAATTAAAGGATTCTCAAAGAAATTTTGAAGAAAATAAATCCTGAATAAAAGAATTCACATTACAGTGTTTAGAACGAAGAAAAGTTGAGTCACTTTTCTAAAGAAGAGGAGATCAATCGTGATAGTGCAAAACATATCATGACCAAGCAGAGGCAGGCCTCGCGGTAGAGCGACGTACAGTAATGCAAGACAAGCAGCAGCTGGAGACCGGAGTCTGGAGTAGTGTGTGCCGGGAAAGTGGGAACCGAAAGGAAAGGTTTTTCCTGCGCGGCTGTGCGCCTGTGCCGGCTGCCCGGCCAGGCCAGGGAAAGGCTGGCTGTGCCTGCCAGCCAATGCCATGTGCTAGGCTAGACCTCGCTGGAACTTATCACCTCATTAGATATGAAACATCATTTCGGCCAGATTGATATAAACTATGACTGAAAATATTATTGATTGGTTTGATACGAGAGAAAAACACTGTTAGATGACTGATAAATCAAGACTTATAAGTCAGGCTGCTGAACAGGCTGATGGGCTCCGCCTCGGTGAAGGTGTTCAACTTCCTTCCAACATGCTCTTTCCCACGCGGCCTCGCATGCCGCTTGCCCAGACTTTTGCCGAGCCAGATTGGTGACCTCCCACGGCCACCAAGGCCTTGTTTAGATGGCTTTAAAATTCTAAGTTTTTTAGATCTCTTTATAAATCAAATTTTTATAAGTCAGACTGAAGAAAATGCTGATGGGCTCCGCCTCGGTGAAGGTGTTCAACTTGTAAATCAAGATGAATCTTCCCACGCGGCCACGCATTAGTCCATAATCGAACAAAATTTGTCGAGCCAGATTGGTGACCTCCCACGGCCAAAGGGCCAAGCCATGCATGTCATGTGATGCCATGACATTGACACGGCCATCTCCACGGAGCAGCCGGCCGGCCGGCCGGGGCCGAGTCCGCCGAGAGCCCGATGTGACTTTACGGAAGTCGCCATAGCCCACGTGACTTACGGCAGGGGCCGAGTACTTTCGACACGTGTCGTCCTGATTCTGAGACGGATGTCCAACTCACTGATTTTTGTTTCCCCTGAAGAGGAGAGGCTCGGAACTCTCAAACGAAAAAGAATGGGGAAAAAAAGACGAACTTTTCAAAACGAAATGCCCGCATCGTATCATAGGAAGCTGGTAAAGATGGCGACGGGCACAATTTTAACGGATAAATTGTATATAAACCCGCACCCACGAGCTGAAACCACACCCATGCCCGTGCCCATTACCCGTGACGGATACAATAGTGTGCCCGCACCCGCCACCCGCAGGCACAGAATACCCGTGGGCACACCCATCGGTCCGCCAGATATTGAAAACAGAGAGTGAAAAGTAACAACTAAGTAGCTAACAAGGCAATTGGATAATATCAGTACAGTACAGAACATGACAATATCAAAGTCTACACCAATTATGGTTCATAGATCACACTCACACCGTCACACAGGACACAGTAGTACAGTATACATAGTTCAACTTCAACAAGCTGCTATCAATTAGAGTCAACACTCGTGATGCATGATTCTTTCTTTATTTCTTCTTCTATGTCTTCAAGGCAAGACCAAAAGGTATCAACCTTACCATCATCTTGATATGCAACAAGGTATTTTTTTATGTTAGTAGCTACCGCATATAGATTACAGGTTTTAAAATATATAAAACATAAAAAATGACCATTTTTATTACCTTTAAGCGAGTGACGAAGCTGACTTTGGCTACACATAAGAGCTTCCACCATTTGAGGAGTAAGACGACTGTGATGCTCACTTAAAACTCTACCACCAGTACTAAAAGCTGACTCGAAAGCTACTGTGGTGACTGGAATAGCCAAAATATCACGAGTAATCATCCTCAAAGTTGGGAAACGAGTTCCCGCAAACCTTCCACCAACCAAGAACATCAAAATATTCACTCTCATTATGAGGAAGTGGTTCTTTATCCAAATAGCGAATCTAACTCATTCTTGGCTTTAGATAAACTTAAAGTTTGTTTATTTGCAGCAAGTGACTTGAATATGGACAGCACAACCGCTGCACTAACAGTAGAAGAAGCAGCACCAAAAGATGATGTACCCACACCCTCTTGGCCAGTTTGCACGTGGTATTCACGCATCAACTCTGTTAGCAACTCATAGCTCTTTTTGACATATTTATCAGCTTCATCTTCACCCAATAGAGCAATGTAGCAAGCTTCCAATATTATCATCTTAAGACGTGAATCAAGAATAACAGCTAAAGCCATAAGACCTTGGATGTCAGACCAATATTTATCATGCTTCTCTATCATGGCAATGGACATTTTCCTAATTATCTCATTTTCATATTCTTTCCAAGAATTAATTGTGACGGCTGGGGTGGGGAGATGGAGGGGATAGAATAGAAATGCTGAACATGAAACCTAGGGTTTGCTTTCTTATATACTATTGGCACAAGGGACCCACATGTCAGGGCTCTGGAGCGGGTTCGCGGGTCTAGCGGGCACAGGTACAAGTTTTTTTTACCCGCCAAATTTTACCCATTGGGTTCAATTACATACCCTCGCCCATGCCCATGGGCACAACTCCAAACCCGTACCCTCGCCTTAGCGGGTTTATGCCCGTGGTATACGCGGGTAATCTGTGCCCGTTGCTTGCCATCTTTAGAAGCTGGAGTCATCTGTGGTGTCCAATCCAATGCACAATCTGAACATGAAGGTGGTGCTGGAGCTTTCACTGGAAGGCTCAAGAGGAAGGCCGTGCCTATGCGGCTATGCCTATGACTGGGGAAAGAGATCGGACAGGGCTGTAGAATCCTACTCATTCCATGTTTCTCGTTGCGCACTCAATTTGGCCCAAACCAGAGTCATGCCCATTTCGCACGAAACGGACCCAAAATTACGAGGCTACCCACCTCATGCAACTTGAATAGAGGGCCGCTGGGGCAATTATACATCCGAATTAACGCTTTATACTCTGAAATCGTCCTGCAGGGTACTACGATACAAGCACCGGTTACAACCACCTGAGCCGTTTTTAAGTGTAGGCAGCACAAGAGCTTGTTCGGTTCATCCTCAATCCGAGAGGATTGGAGGTGATTGACCGGGATTTTGACTTGTAGGGGATATTCTAAACATTGAAGGCAGCAGCACTAAGCTTCATCCAGGAGACTTCTCCGGTGGGGCATATAACTGATTTCACCGGTGGAGACTGAAGAGCATCGTCTTCCGACTGCAACCAAAAACTCGTTGGAAATTTCAAATGAATAACAGGTCGGTGCATCATCACTACAGGCTACAGATACAAATCCTAATAGCTTACTTGTGAAACTATTACCTTAACAGTTGCTCCTGGATACACATTCATAGAACAGAGAATGAAAGCGATTCTTCATAGTTCATCATAAATGGGAGGAGCAGCAGAGGAGCAGGAACATTTGCTGGGGCAGGTCCATGTTGGGCTTTCGCTACCAAGTCCTCATCTGATAATGAACCTGATCTGATGGCATCGTCCAGTTTCCTTTGTAGCGTCAACAGGCCAATACGTCTCGAGACAACATAAAGTACCGCCAAGGAGAATATGATAAAACCGATAGTCAGGATGATCCTGGGAAACAGATCTTGTTAGCAATTGGCTACGACAAACAGAAACACAGGTTTGTTACTAGACAGGTAGAAAATTTGTCTCTTAGATAAGAAGCTTATTGCATATCACAAAAGCACCAGGCACAGTTACTTCATTCTAAGCATTTTGGCATGAGATCTGAACTGCTGGGAATGAGGAACAAAATAGTCATACCAGGAATGTCACAGCAATAATGTTCCTTCAAATAAGGTTCATTACACACTTCTCGTAGATGCATACTACAAGTATTTAGGACTGGGGATTGGAGTTTGCTCCAATTCTGATACTTTCTGTTTCCACAAGATTGTGCCTTTTCTTTAACAAGCGGGAACGCATTGTTTGCCAATGGATCATCTGGACCAAGGCCCAGAGCTCATAGAGGAAGCAAAGAAGGCCACCAGACCTGTTTATTCAATGACAGTCTGATGTGTGTCCTTTGGCGTTACAGATGCGTCCAGTGTTTATAAAAGCTTTTAAGAAACTTGTAAGTTCACACAAGTTTTGGTTTAGTTCCAAACTTGTGATTATATGGAAATTAAATGCCAGCATGTTTTCTGCAAGTCACTTTTCTTTGTTATTCTTTTTGCCTGATTAGCTGTAATGAATCATGTATTTCCTAAAAAAGATAGACCGGGATACAGTTGTTTAATATGAAAAAAAGTACCGGTTCAAACAATCCTGACAAATGATAGTTCAGTACTGCAATATAGCACTTATCACAATTTCTATGAAAGGAGCCAGGGATGTGGTTCAATTTTGAAGGTACTCAACTACTCATTCAGCAGAATGTGTCTACAGAGACATGCCTTTTAGCTAAATGGCTTGAGTATAAAATAAGAATGTAGTCTATACGATCACGGATCACATTATACACTGATCTGCAGCAAGTTTAGAACTGTACAAAAGAGTGAGAGTACCTACCTATCAAGAACATCTTGCCGTTGCATCGTGGAGAGCAAACCACGGGTACGCATTAGCAAAGAGCAGTGTCCTTGATATTCACCTTCAGCCTTCCGGAGAACACTTGTCGATTCGTCTGCATAATTTAATAAATTAGTTTGCATGGTACAATTTGACTATGATGATTGATGATCCTTAAAATGAAGTCAAATAAGAAATTTTTTGATTCATACACCATGAAGTGCATGAACATTCTATATTTTCAGCCATAACAGAATAACATCCTATAGTTAAATAAAAAGGAATATTTGACAAATTAAATATAAATATACAGAACAAGTACATGGCTACAACCAAGCAGTTTTATTTGCTCCACTGTGAGGCATCACAAGAACATTAGTGCTCACTCCATTCCAAATTAAGACGTTTTGACTTTTCTAGATACATTGCTTTTACTATGTACTCCTCTAGACATAGTGTATATCTAAGTGCCAATGTTTTTAAGGCGGTAAGGCAAGGCGAGGCGTGGTGAGTGACTACCGCCTTACGCTTAGGCGACTAAGGTGTGAGGCGAGGCAACGCCTTATGGATTTAAGAAAAACTTAAAACAACAGTTTAGAGTAGTAGATGATGAAGAAAAATGAAAAGGAAGGAATCCCCTCCAGCGTTGCTCCTCGTTCTCCACCACTCGTCCGCCTCCGCTCGTCTCTCCGCCGCTCCACTTCCCTCTGCGGCTCCGCTTCCGTCCGTGGCTCCTCCCCTCCCTCGCTGCTCCCCTTCCAGATCTACAGTCGCCGCCATCCCCTTCCAGATCGAGCAGCCGATGGCAAGGAGAAGGCGGAATCGAGCAGGCGACGGCGAGGAGACAGCGCAATTGAGCGGAATCGACGAGGAGGCGGCGGAATAGAGAGGACCCGCATCAGAATCGATGAGGAGACGACGGAATCAAGGGGGCATCAGCATGTGCATAAGGCGACAAGGCGCCGCCTTACCCCTAAGGCGAGCTTGGAGCGCCCCGACGCCTAAGCGACGCCTTAAAAACACTGCTAAGTGCATAGCAAAAGCTACGTATCTAAAAAAGCCAAAATGTCTTATAAGTTAGAATGGACAGAGTACATTACAATTAAGATCAAGCACATTGTACAAAACCGATTTTAGGAACCGACAAAACTCAATCATTCTAGAATGATAAAAATTATAAATAATATACAGATTAACGGCTTAATTAAAATGCATACCGAATGTTGCCAAGGTACTAGCGCTTCTTTCCACTTCCTGTAAGCATTTATAATTTTATATCAATTAGCTTCAAGTTTATGAGCAATAAGCCATTAGGCATACAAGCTAACAATTGAACAAGTGGACATGCAAACCTGAACCATCATCTGGCGAGACCGTCGGAGGCTCTCAGTGATACTTTCAGCAGCAGATGTCACTCCAGCCTTTGTCCTGAATCATTTAATAGGTCAGAAATCACATTATATGGCAAAACTAGATGTTGCTTGGATTAAAAATGTAGAAGGGTGGTTCACTATTTACTGTGATACAAGAGAACTTATCTAAACATGAATGCAAAAGGATGGCCTTTTCATTAGTGAAATACTGAAATGCATTAATACAGCAGCTCTTAATTGTTATTCCACAATTCTTAGTGTATAATATAGAAAACTAGAATTCACAAGTGACAGCCCATTATCTGCTTTTTCAAATTTCAAGTAAACTTGACGGGAAGGAGCACAACGCACCCCCGCTTTTTTAATTAAGAGGATGCAGGGCTCGAACCTGGGTCGCTGGACTGAGAGCGAACTCCAGTAACCAGTCGCCCATGAGTGCGCCAGGAGTTACACAATGATAACTGGATAAGAGCACTTCGGATGCGCATCACAACAACTTCACAAATCCAAGAGTTCATCGGCCTATGGATCAAGATACAAAGTGTCCACCTACACCCCGAGGTACAGAACTCCATTACATGGAAGTGGACAGCGTACGGAAATTACTCCACCCGCTCGGCATATAGGGTTCAGTTCCGAGGCACACATCGGAAGTTCCGGCATGATCTCATTTGGAAGGTGAAAGCGGAGAATAAATGCAAAATCCATGCTTGGATTCTCATGCAAGACAAAATGCTAGCGGCAGATAATCTATAAAAAAGGGGTGGCCTCACCAAGACCATTGTGTCTTGTGTAACGGTCCGATGGAGACAGGGCTACATCTTTTTTGCTATGCCCCTTCGCTACAGCCGTTTGGGATCAAGTTCTATCCAGGGAAAATTTCGCAGTGCAACTCCCACAGCAAGAAACTCTCAATTGCAGAATGGTGGGAGCAGACTGCAAGTAACATACCAAAGCAAGACCGCAGGCGCTTCAATGGAGTATGTATTTACATTTGGTGGAATCTATGGAAGGAGGAATAGGAGGATATTTGAAAATGAGTACAGGACGGCGCAGCAAGTCGCCTCCTTGACCAAAGAAGACACAGTGTAGAGGCACAGGGCTGTGGCCATTGCTGGGGAAGCCAACTAGTTTAGAGAGGCGAGTTCTTTTTTGGTCCTAGGACCAGAGGTCTGGCACCATGAGTGCCACTTGTACATAAATCTCTATTTTTCCTTACTTAATTGAGCGGCAGAGCTCCTGCCTTTTACTTCAATTCAAATTTCAAGTAACCTGGATTTGATGAAACCAGATGGATGGGATACCCATGTAACTGACTAAAATATAAAAGCTCCTTAAATATCCCATATATATTGGCTTAAAGGAAAAAAGACCTCATTGAAATCAACTTACTGGATATTATGCCTACGGATGGTATGACTCTTCGCCACCCCCAGAAGAAGTGCCCTCTAGAGAAAAGACAATTAGAAACTGATAGCCAAGTTATAATGACACCTGCAATGCTCTAAAAAGGTGGTAGGGTGCCTACCCATTTTCTTGCTAACTTTGCAAGGAGTTGCAAAAAACTAAAGCAGCAATAGTTTCAATGGTGCTTCTGAATTTAAAAACCTCTGAGAAGAGATACTGCATATAAAGAATAGGTCCTTAAAAATTAAAATGAATCCTTAATCTTTCACATTGCATTGGTGACACTTAAGAAGCATGTACCACTCAGACAGCTAATCACTTGGATCAATATCATCAAAGTCCAGGCAAAATCACATACCTCCTCTTGAGCAGCTTGTCTAATGTTATCTTTTGCTTGTAAGTTAGCATTCCTCAGGCTAACACGAAGCCTGCAAAAACGTTCAAGATTTATACAAAAAGTAGGCTAAGAAGGATAACAAAAGTAAACAAACTCCAAGACTATCTTACTGTGACAGAACCGTCCAATTTATACAAGATCAAGTACGGCTGTCCCCACCAACACGTTGACACACGCATACTTTCACTTATATAAACCCGGTACTCCGCCGAGTGTCACGAAGGACCTCGGTAAATCAACATCACAACCAAGATCGCGTGATTAAGCAAATACACATCACATACGCAGAGTTGCAGCGGAAATAATATTATAAATGTGTTCACAAATAATAGTACAAGTTTGGATTTCAAAACCGATTAGTGAAAACAACATAGCTTTCAAATGATTACATTAATATAAGTTCCAAATACATTGCTAGCATAAGTGACATCCTCTGACAAAAGCATATAGATGAGAAATAAATATGGAGTCACCGAGTCCACCGACGGTTAGCCAGCATCTTCAGCAGGCCGAGAACTTCACCTGCAATGGTGGGATAAACCCTGAGTACTCGAATGTACTCAGCTAGACTTACCCGTCATAAACCAGAAATAAATTGACACCAAGGAGTATGCAAGGCTTTATAGGTGGAGCTAGCTTAATAACATTTTGCATAAAAACCAATAGTTGAGCTATACATTTTACAAGTCAGTAACCAAGTTAATTATAGCTATTCATCTCTAGATTAGCAACTAACATGTACCAAACATGTGGGATATCCTTTAGTAACAGGCAATAGTAACCATAGCCGGTATAATGTTGTAACATCATCATCATCATTATAACCATCAAGTTCAATTAAGTGTCTCTACGTTGCCGCTGCTCAGTCAAGTTCTCACTATTCGGGAGAGACGGCGATTCAAATCGATTCCTACCCAGCTGGGGAATTATTCCTAACATAAACCCAATCAACCTGATCAGTGGTTGCCTCGGGTCACCTTTGGTACAACTCAGGAACAAATTCGTGGGTCTGCGCAGCGCCGCACTCTCAGGGAATCCACTCTGCCAGGTGGTCAATCTCACCTTTGGACTTACGCCAATGGCTTCCCGCACATCCTTACTACCGCCAGAGTGCGTACTTTCACTTTTTAGCTCTCGGTCTGAGTTGAGCTACTCGGCTTCGCGGCCGGAACGAGTTATCTGGTCAACTAAGTGATAGTCATGCGTTCAACATGACATGAGGACGTACAACGCATCGGTCCTTAAACGACACAGATGGGGATAGATCCACACCCAAGACCTCCATGTCTTGTTGCTTCTCTATCGACATCCCGTCCGGTCTCCATTTGTTATTAACATATGGTTATTTTCATGATAGCAAATATAGCCAACCGTGCTTTGGTATCCACCTATATCTCGTAGGTGACAGGAAATCACCTGACTTTTATTGGTCTAAACATTGCTAAGCATACATTCGATCTTGGACCTACATAGGGTTCAAGGTATATTTCTGGACAAGGTAGTTCTATGCATCAAGTGGTTCCAATCAACTCTTATAACCTAATGCATCGAACATAAAGAACTCAAGTGATATTTGTAAAAACATAGGAGGCTTAGAATGCTCCGGGGCTTACCTATGAACCAACACTAGGTCAGTGTTTGTTAGATGACACTCGCTTTGGTGAGTATCTCCCATCCTAGCACTTGTCTAGTCCTTCCATCTTTGGGATAGTTCCACCATACACCGTTTTGGGTTTGGCTCCAACATCACGTCCTTCACGTGGTTCATCTAGCGTACCTAAATGAGATGAAAGATGTAAGTGCATGAATATGAAAAATGGTAATATGAGATGCATCACATAATAGCATTTAAGGCAAACATAAGATCATGCAAAACATAGACACATAGAGTTATTTAACTAAATATCACACAACATATTATAGAGGGATAGCAAGCATATTAGGCATGGAATACAAGTGAACTTAAGTTCAGATATTGCACACATGCATCGATCAAGAACTAACCAACATGTTTAGCCAAAACAAGAGCAAACTAAAGCAATCACCTAGCACATGTATAGAAATCTGGACAGCAGCACAACAGTCACTTGTTTTATCCATAACTGGAGATCCAGACATCCAAAGAAGGTGATCCTAGACTTTATAGAAAGCTAATGAAATTGTCTACAACATTGTTATTATCACCAAAAGCTTATTCCAAAGCTAAATAGGTCAAACATGCCAATGTTTTAGATCTGCACAGAACTAGGATAGAAAAGTAGTAGTAGTTTCAAAACGGCATAACTGGAGTTACAGACATCAAACAAGCATGAACCTTAACTTTATAGAAATCTTATTAAATTATCTAAAACATATTTATTATCATCACAAGGTGATTCCACCATTAACAAGGTCAATCAAGCACAATTGAGCACCTCTGTCCAGACTTGGATAGATTCTGCCATGCAACTTCACATGCTTATAATTGGAAATTTAGACCACCAAAAGGAGTGATCTTTAACAATTTGGAAAGCTCATGAAAAGCAATACACTTCTTCTATTATCTCCAAGACATGATTCAAAGCTTAGTTAGGTCAAACAACACAATCATTCAGATATGTAAAGAGAGCATGCAAAACCTGATAGGGAAATTATAAAATTTATAGCTCCTAAATTATCAGGCCTATGGTCATGAAAATTGAACAAAAGCTAGATTATGAAGTTACCTACAACTTTGGTATTAACCACAACCACAGCAAACATCATTTACACCATGAAAATAATTGCACAAGCAAAACTGCACCTGCAGCCCAAACAACAGTGGTACAATTATAGACAGGAAATTGATAGGAATTTTAGAGAAGCATAACTAGAGTTCTAGACATCCAACAAATATGAATCATAACTTTTTGAATTAGAGTTTTTGACCGATTGAGGCATTTTCTTAGACTTCAGCTCAACACGAACCCTTCATGCACTAGTGGAGGGACGGGCTTTACTCCCGATAGAGAACCCCCTCTAGTCCCAGTTCCCCCACTCGGAAGTAAGCATCCGGGACTAAAGGGGGTCCTTTAGTCCCGGGTCGGGAACCGGGACTAAAGGGGACCGGTGCATAACACCAACTGGGACTAAAGGTCCTCCTAGCTTTAAAAAAAATAATGCCTCCCACCGCTGCGTCCCGTGAGATTCGAACCCAAGACCTCATGCGTTGCCTCGCGCGTAGCTTACCACCCCACCTACACAACACATCTAACAATGGATGGGATGCTTCCCTTTTGAACTAACCCATCGAGGGACCTTTAGTCCCGGTTGGTGTTCCCAACCGGACCAACCGGGACTAAAGGTTGGAGGACTTTTAGTCCCGGTTGGTGGCTCCAACCGGGAGTAAAGGTCCACCTTTAGTCCCGGTTGGAGACAACAACCAGGACTAAAGGCCTCTCTAGTCTCGGGCGCAAAAAATGCCGGGACTAGAGCCTATTTTAACTTCGGATGAAAGGTCTGTTCTCTACTAGTGATAGACTTTTGTTGTAGAGTTCAATTAGAGTCATTTGGGTAAGGTAGCAAGGTTTGGTCGACATCTCATATTCCCATTTACTTAATAAAGCAATCCAAGAAAGATTATAACTTATCATTTTATGTGACTTCTTGATTCCAAACTTCATGAAACTTTTCCACTGGTCAAGATAGATGCATGTTGATGTAATGTACATGAATAAGCATGTTTAACATTACTCTTGTATAATCTTAACAAGGGTACCCATGTAAATAAAGGTGTGCTGTCCAAGTTTAAGTTGGAGCTCACTCTTATAGATTTGATCTTGACACATTCATCACCACTTAACATGCCATGTTTGAGCTCAAACCCATTGCTTAATGGGTGACAAACACCTGGGGTTTTACACTTACTTCTTGTGTTGTTCATCCCATGACTTCGGTGTTGCTTGGCCAGACTGCACTTCATCAAAAGTGGGAAGCTGCTGTGCTAGAAGATCAAGCCGGAACTGCAGTGACTTGAGCAACTGCAGAGCATCCTGTGCAGAACCATTCAACCTCGGAAGAGAATTTGCTTCCTCTGTTCCTTTCCCTGCTTTCCCACATGATTCGATTGCAGTAATGTTCTCCTCAAGCTGTGAAACTGCTTGGCTCCATTCTTTCTTCAGATTTTCAACAGCTGGTGTGACTTCGTCCATCCTAATATCTTAATGGATCAAAATCATCAGATTTACCATGCTGGCATGTGAAGAAAGAGAACTGACAACTTGTAACATAAACAGAATTTATGTTTTGATACATGGATAAGTGAGCACTCCTGAAAAACTAAGTTCCTTAGGAAGAAAAAATCCTCATGGTGGAGGATTACTATTCCTTAGCCGTGCATAAACGAATAGCCATGACATGTGGCTAGAAGAAGTCATTATAATCCAACTAGCACCATCCCAAGCCCCAAATATGCACTGATGAGCAAAAAAACATCATAGCCTACAAATACAAAACACCATTGTCTTACTCCCACTCCCCGATCTCTTCTTTATATTGGCTATTATGGTTTTCCTTGATAAATATTGCTACGAGGCAGGTCTTTATTCAAAAAAGAAAACACAAACACTGCTCACTATGGAGAAACCAAACTGTAACCTTAGTAGGATTAACCTAGCCAAATATTATCAACTGAGATGGGATGCGAGAACGCCATATTGAAAAGACACCAAGAACCTGATTGTATAAGGTATAATAAAATCATGTTATCTGTGTTTGCTGAATCTGTGTCAAAATTAATTAAACTGTCAAATGTGATACATACTCAAGAAAGACCAAACCGTCACTATCTAAGTAGGCGTAGCAATATATAAGAGCATCTCCACCAGTCCCCCAAGGCCCCAATTCCCACCCCCAATGAGGAAAACCTGTAGTTTAAGGGATATGAGAGCTCCAGCAGATCCCCATTCTAGCCCCAATGAGAAATTTTTTTCTCAGCCCCTCAAAATCCATCCTCCAACCCCCTCAAAGATGTGGAAACCACCTCCCCCAAATACCTGAGATTTTTGGCGCGAGCTCTAACTGCCGGCGCCAGGGACGGAGACGGGGACGCCGGCGGCAAGATGTTGGCCATGGGCGCCAGGGATGGGGACGGGGAAGAAGACACCAGCAGTCAAGATGCTTTGGCAGCCTTGTTGCAGCTTCTCGTGCTGCCTTGCCGCAGCTCCTAGTGCCCCTACTCGCGTCGTCTGGAGGAGTTGGATGTGAATAGGAGCGGCGGATGAGGAGGAGTCCGGAGGAGTGGGATGGCCGGATGGGAAGAGGAGCGGCGGAGTGGTCGTGATGGAGGAGTAGCGGGTGGAGATGCGGCGCTCGGAGCCAGGAAGAGAAAGAAACGGTGGGAAGAACAAAATAAAAAAAGGATTATATTTTTTGTCAAAAAAAGATTATATTTGAATGACAAATAGATAACTAGTTTTAGGTTCCGAGACATGTTTCTCCTGAGGCAACAGTGGGTAGACTTAGACCCCGAACTTCATCTATATGAATCTTAGGTTGTGTTTGATTGGGACCCGAGGAGATGAAATGGTTTTATTCATGTTTTCAAGGATGAGATGGTTCCAATCCGCTATTTTATTGAAGGGATGGAATTGTCTTTAGTTTGGCTGAGGAGATCTGAACGGTGGGTAAGGACTCCATGACATGAGCCTAGCTTGTCACGCCGTTATCTTCTTCTTCCTTCTCTCTCCACATGGAGCCCTGACGCCCCCCGCTACTATACATCTTGGAGGTGTAAGAATCATTCTTTAAGAGGATCTATGTTTAGGCATCGTGGTGCTCTAACCCAGAATGCATGAATCCAGGTACAAGAGGAGTGAAGGACAAGTAGACGAGTCCTCGTAACTCATAAGTGCTAGGGCAAAAAATATAAAGGGGTGCCAAGCAGGCCATGGTAGTGGAGGAGACTCCTGGTTCTGGTGTTTCCATGACGTAGGACCCATATGAACAATTGAACTTTGATTGTGCATAATTATCCTAATTCTTATTCTTAGAGCTAGAAGAGATGTACGCACCACAATCAGTTTGCTTGAGCATGGCGTAGCCGATGCTAGTGGTGAGAAAGTTGGCATTACCTATTAGAGGAGAAGCCAATAGTCTGGGAGGGTGTGGAGCTACAAGAATAGCAAACACTCTAGCAAGGTTCCTGCTCAGTTGCTTGGCTCAGATAGTGATGAAGAGACAGCACGAGCCCATCAAGGGAGAAGACCATTGTAATGCTAATACCTTGGTCAGTGTAGTGTGAGAACAAAACCGGCAAGGCATGATGTCACGCTCCAAAAATAAGCCGGTGATAGCGCCGTATGTGTATGAAAATTTTAAATCCTCGTACATACACAAGGCAAAAAGAGACATCAAAATCCGTAAAGCACACTTTATTAATACTTTGTATCAAGATTACACTTTATTAGAGTCTATATCTTCACAAGGCAGCTATCCTTGTGCTTTTATTTTACGCAGCAAAGCTACACTACCCGGTAGATGTCACAGCTATGCCCACCCTATGCGTACTAGTTCTTCGGGCGCGCCCATACGCGCGGGCCACTGGCCACACGTATTTTTTGGAAAAAAAAAAGATATAATCAAGGAGGGCCTGTATTTCGATTTGAGAAAAATCTGAGGAGGTTTTCGAAAAAATCGTTGAGAGTGTCTCTGGAGTGCGGGTTGATTTTTGATAAAAGGAAGGGTTTTTTTGCAAAAAAACTGGAGCTCATCCGTTCTGGACTGCGGGTTGATTTGAAAATTATCTGAGGTGTTATTTGCAAAATATTCTGAGAGGGCCTATGGAGCGCGGGTTGATTTCCCAAAAACATAAGGGGTTTTTCGTAAAATGACTGCGCCTCGCCCGATCTGGCCCGTCGATGCGGCCGATCGAACGGCCGGGAACGGCCGGCGACGTGGCGCTCCGTGTGGGCAGCCTGGCCACACGCTTTCTTGTCTTTAAATGTCTTTATTAGTCCGCCCAACAATACTACTCTCCTCTCTTTCTGCATATGTCAACAAGAAAAGCTAGATGAGTACGTTTACACATACTCAGCAAGAATAATAAAGAGAATAACATGAAGAAGAACCATGCGTTAGTGGTAATAACTAGTGCAGAGGCTTATCGTCACTATCTTCCGCTAATAATTATTTTATATGGTGTTACCCTTCATCTGAGAACCATTTTACCACACCCTACTTGAGGCTGAGTGGACCTATTACCTACCCTGATGGCGACAACATTATTTTATGTGCCATATCAGTCAATTATGAACCGTCTTTCGTTTGCTTATAGGTAACATAGAGCATAAAAATATAGATCAGTTAGCTCGGTTAAGATGGTTAGTCGACAAGCACAGTCTTGCCTTTACACGTTAATTTATCTGGTGACTTCTTGCCGTAGCTGTTCCTGCTATTAAACGGTGATACATTACTAGTACTAGACGACATCACTGTTACTAGTAAAAGATGACGTGTAAAAGGTAACTAATCAGGTATAAGTGATATTTAATGGAGTAATACTAATAGTCTCATGCATGGTAGTATAAATAATCTAGCTACACACGTCATCATGTTAAGATGTAGCTGCATATTTGAACAGCTAGCTGAGGCCTAGAGTGATTAAATCAGAAGCTAGTATGACTGCTACAGCCTACGGTACTACGAAAGAATACAATTCTAGCACAGTGTGTATCCTAAATCCTATCAATTATATAGATAAAAAAGTATCAATATTTATGATATTAAATAAATATCATTAGATTAATTATGAAATGTATTTTTATAATAAATTATTTTGGGGCTGTAAATGTGAATAGTATTCATAGAAATTTGGTGAAATGTGAATCATTTTTGCTGGCACGCAACCTATAGTTATATTCTTTTGTGGACAGAGGAAGGAGTACTAGCAAATGGGGCAGTACCTGCTTCTACCTGGTCGTCGCTTTCACTTCAGCAAGCCCCCAAGAACTAGTACATTGTTGCTCGATGTGTGTGTGTGGTGTAGGTCTGATCAATGTGTAGGGATGGAGGGCATTTTATACTAGCATGGGAGTGTTCTACACAACGCTCGTAGTTGGGACGAGGATCAGGCCGTAGGAAAAAAATCAGTCGAGAGCTATCTTTTTTACCGTGTGTTCCTGCCCAGTAGAAATATCCATCTGAGTTTATCTCTTCTCCGTTATTTTTCTTATTTCCTTTTACCGCTCGTTCGTATCCGGATAGAAGCTGATCCAGTCGCATGCGTAGCTTTGACATGAGCATGAGGGTGCAGGCTGCCTGCTAGCTCATTCATATTTATTTATTTTTCTTTTTGATTTTACACATGAGCATGAGGGTGATTGTCATTGAAAACATGGTGAAGTTATTGTTCCCAGACATGACACTGGTGATGGAGCGGTATGATGGGGGAACATGCACCAATACAGAGTGTGTGATATGCTTTGGTCGTCAATGTACCACAACTCCATAAGTGCACCCAGTCCCACCCAGGGCCGTTGTGTCTAATCATCTCGAGAGTGTTCGGCTGGCATGAATTGGGCACTGTAGCAGCTGGTTTCACTGTAGCAGATGGAAAATAGTGGGAGAAAAACACTGTTCTAGCTGGGAAAAAAGAGAACCCAGCCAGCCAGAAACGGCCAGCCGAACACTGTTCACCTATCTTGAGCAGGGCCAAATTTTGGACTTCGATGTCGACGATGTTGAGCCACTTATAACACCTGTAGTGTGCTAAAAAATTGAGGCTTCGATACTCTCTGCTAATGGAGCATCGCTTTCTTGCATAACGAGGATTGGTCTAAACAATGAGACATCAAAGAATGTACAAGCTTCAATGCTCACTTAGATGGTTGAATAAAATATTAGTATTCTCAAGTCACATGGTCGCTATTGGAAACAGGAGGGGAAGTGGTTGTTGGCTCGCGGGGGTTGTTTTTAACTCGAGAGTGGGTCCTATGCCTTCCAAGCATCGATGCAACACATTGCCACAAAAATCTAGGTCCTAGCATCGTGTACATGTGGCGTACAACATTGTGAATAGGCGCTAAAGATACACAACAGGGAGAGAGAAAATGAGAAGAGTAGGGATTAGGTTAAATTTTAGAGGTGTATGCACCAAGCTTCAAGAGGATAGATGTCCTAGATGTGCAAGCATCGTGGTGTTCTAACACAGAATGCATGAATTCGGGGACAAGAGAAGAACATGTGAGTGATGCCCTCGTTAGTGGTTGGGCAAAAAAAGACATAATAAGGGAGTACCAAGCTCACCACTGTGGTTGAGAAGCTCTTGGTTCTTGTTGTTCCCATGGCACAAGACCCAAAAAAAACACTTGAGAAGCATGCTACAGTCGGTTTACTTGAGCACGATGTAGGCCCCATTCGCTTGAAGAAATTTAGAGGGATCTGGAGGAATCTGGATGAATCTTGGAATTTGTGAGAGAAAAACACGGTTCCGGATGAAAAAAGAAGCGGATCAAGCCGGGTTTAAGGGCACACGAACGAATAGTAGACGACGATGGTGCTGAAGGTTGTCATCGTCCCATAGAGAAGATGCTAGAGAGGGATAGGAAGCACCTGTCGAGATCTCGCCCCCGTTCTTGCTCACCTATTTGGCTCAGACAATGGTGGACAGGTAGCACGAGCCCGTCATGGAAGAAGGCCATTGCAACCTAATCCCTTGGTTGGTGCAGTCTGAGAACAAAAACCGCCAAGAAAACGAGCCAAATGACCCGAGGGTTGACTGTTTTGTCATGCCAAAACATAGTGGAGTCACCGTTGGCGAGCACGAGCCAGTGATGTAGAGTGATATGTTGATAGCATGATGTAGAGCATGCATCAATAAAGAATGTGTGGCACATTTTGATCGTCGATGGACCAGTAGCGCACCCAATTCGCCTAGAGGTTGATGTGTCTAATGATGGGGTTGTTCACTTGCCTTGAGCAGGAGGGCCAAAGTTTTGGACGATGACGCCGATCCTCTCTCATGTTATCCAAAATATCTCTCCTCGTCAGGAATATTTTGTTCAAATGGAAAGCATGAATGAACCAGAAATGCCGATAGCTGCACAGAAGACCAAGCAAGCCCCAAACCAAAACCCCCACGACAAGCCAAAAGAAAGAAATCCACTATCTCTTGGCTCCTTGCTACCTCCACTCTCCACCGCATCCTCGCCCTCGCATGTCGCTGGCGAGCCAGCGTAATCAATCGCCAATGCTCTCCCGCCGCCCACCGTCCCAGCCGTCTCCAAACTCTCCGCGTCGGCGTCGCCCAAGACCACCAAGCCCAGGCTCGCCGCCTCCGCCACCGCCCTCGCCCCCGCCGCGACATCCGACGATGCGCCGCCCGGCGGGGGCGCTCATCCGCTCCCTCTGCGCCGCGGGGCGCGCCGCGGAGGCCGCGCGGGCGCTGTCGGCCGCGGCCGCGGGCGTCGTCGCCTACAACGCCATGGTGTCGGGCTACTGCCGCGCGGGGCAGCTCGCCTCCGCGCGCCGCCTCGCCGCGTCCGTCCCAATCCCGCCCAACGCCTACGCCTACACCTACTTCCCCATCGTGCGCGCGGGGCCGGATCGCCGACGCGCTCGCGGTGCTCGACGAGATGCGCCGCCGCGGCTGCGCCCCGATCCCGCCCATGTACCACGTCATCCTCGAGGCCGCCTGCAGGGGCGGCGGATTCCGGTGCGCCGTCAGGGTGCTCCAGGACCTCCGCGCCAGGGGCTGCGCGCTCGACGTCGGCAACTGCAACCTCGTCCTCAACGCCGTCTACGACCAAGTGTCGGTGGAAGAGGCGCTCCGCCTGCTGCCGGACCTGCTGCCGTCCTTCGGCTGCGAGCCGGACGTGGTGAGCTACAACGCCGTGCTCAAGGGCCTCTGCATGGCCAAGCGGTGGGGACGTGTTCAGGACCTCATGGAGGAGATGGTCACGGTGGGCTGCCCGCCCAACATCGTCACCTTCAACACCCTCATCGGTTACTTGTGTCAGAACGGCTTGTTCGAGCGGGTGCATGAGGTCCTCGCGCAGATGGCGGAGCATGGGTGCACGCCGGACATCAGGATGTATGCCACTATCCTCGATGGTATCTGCAAGGAAGGGCATCTCGAGGTCGCGCACGAGATTTTGAATAGGATGCCTTCCTACGGGTTCATGCCCAATGTAGTTTGCTACAATACTGTGCTCAAGGGCTTGTGCAGTGCTGAGCGGTGCGAGGAAGCCGAGGAGTTGCTGGCTGAGATGTTTGACAAGGACTGCCCACTTGATGATGTCACGGTCAACATACTTGTTGATTTCTTCTGCCAAAATGGGCTGGTGTACCGGGTGATCGAACTACTTGAGCAAATGCTGGAGCATGGATGCATCCCAGATGTCATCACATACACTACAGTGATCAATGGCTTCTGCAAGGAAGGGCTTATCGACGAAGCTGTCATGTTGTTGAAAAGTATGGCCGCCTGTGGATGCAAGCCGAATACCATAAGCTAAACTATTGTGCTCAAGGGTTTGTGCAGCGTGGAACGATGGGTGGATGCTGAGGACCTGATGTCTCAAATGATTCAGCAAGGCTGTTCTCCGAATCCTGTCACATTCAACACAGTCATCAATTTCTTGTGTAAAAAGGGACTGGTTGAGCAGGCCATTGAACTTCTTAAGCAGATGCTACTGAATGGATGCAGTCCCGACCTGATTAGCTACAGCACAGTGATTGATGGGCTTGGCAAGGCTGGCAAGACGGACGAAGCACTGGAGCTGTTAAATGTGATAGTCAACAAAGGGATGAGCCCAAACACAATCATTTATTCGTCAATAGCTTCTGCTCTCTCCAGAGAAGGTAGAATTAGCAGGGTAATTCAGATGTTTGATAACATCCAAGATGCCACGATAAGGTCCGATGCAGTGCTCTACAATGCAGTTATTTCTTCGCTTTGCAAAAGAGGGGAAACTGATCGTGCTATTGAGTTTTTGGCATATATGGTGTCCAGTGGATGCATGCCCAATGAATCGACCTACACTATTCTTATTCGAGGCTTAGCAAGTGAGGGATTTGTGAAGGAGGCACAAGAGATGTTGATTGAGTTGTGCTCCAAAGGTGCTCTAAGAAAGCACTTGATGAAGCATTTTGGTATTGTATGAAGTATAAACTGATAGTTACTGTTTGCAAGTGCTGGTGTTATCAGGATTAGTTTCTAATTAGCCTGAAAGTGTCATCCACATTATTTTGCTCTTCTAACCAACCCGTGGTGGTTAGGTATGATGTATCACGCTGTTTAAATACAGGCTTTGATAGATGGACACACAAAGTCAGGATGGAAGACTTTCATATTCCTAATTAGTGGCAGTACCTTTTATTGGGGAGTTTTTGAAGATATCTAGAATACAAAGACATCAGAAGATTTAGTCTGACGTATCAAAATTGATGAGTAGTTTTTCAGTTATTTCAGTAGCTGATGAACATAGTGCACAGAATTTCTGTACGGAGTTCCTTTCTTTATGGGAAAACAACTTTTGAGAATACTATGGACTTGAAAAAAAAGCTGAAACGGAAAGAATGTCCCTACCCCTGGGTGAGCCTGTAACCGAGTAGATTGAAATCATATTCGCATAGTTTACTGTTTATTTTGTGTATATAATTGTGAGTTTTACCGCCTGGTGCAAGCGGTAGAGTCTTACCGTCTGTGACCGGAAGGTCCCAGGTTCGAGTCGCGGTCTCCTCGCATTGCACAGGCGAGGGTAAGGCTTGCCATTGACACCCTTCCCCAGACCCCGCACAGAGCGGGAGCTCTCTGCACTGGATACGCCCTTTTTTATAATTGTGAGTTTTCTTACTATATATTACCTTCTGCAATAATACCATGGACCTCACATGGTAGAAATATCTGGATTCTAATAAAAGTAGTCTTTGCTTACATGCAGCATGTCTAAACGTTACTGTTTATGCAATACTCAGGAATGTGTATTGGATGTCAAATTGCAAGTATCCCTACTTTTAAAGCACTGTTACCTCCTTCAATTTATTAATCAGTAGGGCTTGCCCCCCCCTGTTTCCATAAAAAAAAATTAAAGCACTGTGATCTGATCTGACTGCTGCTTTTCAATTGTTGATTCTAGCATATTACTTTCTCTCTTGGCCCTAATTTGTATTCGAAGTTGAACAGCCCTGAAGGAAGGGTGGAGATGTTGATATCTTTGGCAATCCTGGTGGTTTCGGCTACTGTGATTCAGTTGCTGAGCCCAGCCCAGCACAATCAGGTTTGATCTGTTTGGCATAGAAGCATGCTCGGAAATAGAATTTGCACAAGTGGGCACCAAAAGGGTAGCTTTGGTCGTTAACCTTTCTATTCCATTTTCTTTGTTTTGAAATGCAAAGTAGTAGTTATTAAGTGGGAATTAGGTTGATCCATGAACCTAAAGAAAGCAAAACCTGCATCTCCACTGATGGCTGACGCGCACCAAGCTGCAAGCTTTACAGTTGTACTGAAATAATGTCGTACAGTTTTCACAAATTTAATGTACTTTGGACTTCAGGGTAATTTTTCTAGATGCATTACATTTTATCTGTAATGCCAGTCTTTAAAAAAGAACATCCGTAATGCCTACATGGGAATAGCCATCATACTCCTACCATATCCATGTCTTGGGAATAGAAAAAAAATAACACATGGATTTTGAAAAGTGCAACTTCGTTTGCAATTGTAGTGAAAAACGTGCACGCTCAACAGTCAAACAAAATTTCACTAGTCAAATTTTAAGAATAAATCCTGTTCCGTGCTGTCATGATTTCGATATCCAACCTGCTTGAATTCGTATTTATGGTCATATTAATTGTTTTCGCCTTTTCTGTTTAGCAAATTTGAACATAGGACGAAAAGGAGGTGACTGTTTTTCTGACCATTTTCATTTTTCCTGTTTTTTTTAACCTGTTTACTTTGTACGGATACCCCGCTTTGGGAAGTCCAGTAGTGCAACATACAGAGTAGTTGGCTAGACACCCAGACCACACCGAAGCAGCCCATTCTATGGTGGACTAGTAGTTGGCTTGATGTGTCGTGAACTTATATCCTTTTGGTATGAATTACAATTTACATATGTGTTGATAATGTTGCTATGTTAGGTTGGTTAAATCTATATATGTGAAGTCATGTTTCTTGGTTCTATGTTAGCATTCCTGTTTTGCCTTTTTTAGATTTCTACCATTATCAATATGTTTTTGTTCGAATTGGTTTGTTTTTTATATTCCATAAATCCTATTTTTGACTTCCTGATTTTGATTTTAGTTTCCCTAATAAAATATAAAAGTGAAAAAAGAGAGGGTCTATCTTAATCGACCCCGTTTGTTTTCACCCTAAATCTTCAAAGAGTATTCCATATAATTATAAGCTAATTTGCTAATACTACAAATTTAGATTTTCTTTGGGATATTGTGGTATGATCGGGTCCAAATGTTGGAAGAGTTGAAAAAAAGGAAACTGGGATGGCTTAATCCTGTGCAAACTTTGTGGAAAAACAAAAACCAGAGATCATATTTTCTTTCGATGCCCTATTGCAGTGTTGATGTGGAGCTTGTATCAGAGATAATCTTGGCTAGGATAAATATCCACGTTCGCTTTTTTTTTTGTTGTTGAACAACAATAAAGCATTGCAGTGCATAATCACAATAGGTGTCCCATTTACTGGAGTGTGTTGGGGTCTCTGAAAAAACAGAAATGATTGGGTTTTTTCAAATGTAGTAGCTTATAAAATTCCTGGTTTTCTTTGGCACTGGAAAATCCTAACAAAAATGGAGGCTGGGGCGCATCTGGAAAAGGTGTTGCAATAGCTTAACTAGGATGGAGGACGAGGCAAGTCATATCTAGAAAAAATGCTGCAACAGCCTAAAAGAGTGCCCGGAAGAATGGTGAAGAAGGTAGAAGCATTTTTGCTATCTTTAACATCTCCACCGGTCTACTAATAATCTATCTCCCAGTATATAGCCATTAAGGTAGCTCAATATTTTTTTTAATATTGGAAGAATTGAACAGTACCTCAATATCTCTCTCAACACTCGTATGAAAAATAGACCCCTAGGTGTGTAGGAAAAACAGATAGCTGAAAAGTGATGGTTGTGATGGTTCCTTTTAATTTAATGACGAATAATAGAAATATCCATGGCCACCAAAAGACATGTAAAGTATTGGAAAACTGCTGGGGAGAAAAGAAATATAGTAACCTCTAATATAATAGTTTTATATGGGGATAGGAGGTATATGAAAACTGCCAGAGATGCTCTTAGCAGCTTCCTGTCTCATTCTAGATTTTACTGAGTGGGGTGAGGTTCTTGAGAAGAGTGGTTTCTTTCTTTTGATGTATAGGAGGCCTTGATCACTAAACATTGTAATGATGCATTGATGCTGGTATCCCAACCTAACCTTTGCTTTCAATATAAGCTGGACCAATGGTCTTTGGTCTAAAAAAAATTCTAATTGTTAATATACTTTCAAAAGGGCACAAGATGCGAATTAACAATTGTCCGAATATTAATAACGATTGTCAAGCGGCAATACAGGACAACAAAATTGCTAATAGTGTATATTTCATAGAAAATTGTAAAATTATCAAGTCAAGCAAAGGGCTTATTTGCCTGGTATTAAAGCCGGCTAATAAACCGACTAAAACTGCTTTTGTTGTGAGAGAAAAAATATTGTAGATTCTAGCTGATAAGTTCTAACACGTAGCCGATGGACCACAGTAACAATTTAACTTTCTCTAAGATTCCAGCAATATACAGCCTGTTCGCTTGCTCGTATTTGGCTTATAAGCTATGACTTATCAGCCAACGAATAATATTTTTCTCTCACATCAAACCAGCTGACAATACTTTCAACCATGGCTTATAAGCCAAACCAGCCCAAACAATCAGGGCGAAGATCGTGAAGAAAATTCCTTGCGACATAACTTCTCGAACAGTGGAAAAATGTCCAATCCAGTTACAGCTGAAACACTAGTCACTCTAGGCCTTGGCAAAATTAAGTTACAACACAGGCTACGTGTACAAGGGCGTTGGAGCAATATAACACAAGCAACCGTCGCAGAATTTCTCATGCCAATGCACCTAAGCTGCTGCCCCAACTACTTTGCGAGCAGTTTGCAAATGATCCTCCCGGGCCATCATTATTCTTACTGCAAAGGGAGAAACAATACATCTTAGCGGCGCACAATTGCATGACTAATCAACAAATGTCGTGCTAGGGCCTTGAGAAACATGCTTTACCTGTTGTGGTGGGGGCTGCTGTGGTGGCTGCTGCTGGTAATTTCCATACCCTGGATATGGTGTGTAGGCGTACATGGTAGGATCTTGAGGGGGCCGAGCATAACCATATGGATCGTATCCTTGGGGATACCCATAATAGCCACCACTCCATTGGTTCTGCTCTTGCTGAGGCTGGAATAAAAATCCAGCAAAGGGAATATGAACTAAAGCACTAAGTAAAGGGCACACAAATTTGATAAAAAAAGTTACCTGCTTGTTTGCAGGGCTACGACCCCATGAGAGCCTTATGCTCTGACCTCCCAGCTGGCTTCCATTTAGCACCCTTATGGCCTCCTCAGCTGATGCCCTGAAGAAATAGTTTTTTTTAATCAAGAAAAAATCCATGTAGTAGTATCTGGTTCAGAAAATTTTTAGAAGCATTTTCCACTATAAATTTCAAATCCTTTTTCATATGGTTTAAATTTACACAATACACTCCTAATGTGGAATGTGGAATCACTATAACCAATTGGGTGCTAATTTTAGCACTAAAATATTGACACAAAAAAGATTTCAACATGTAACTGGATACTATAAATTGATCTGCACAATGCACTAAAACCGAAATAATGAGGCTATCGAATAACAACACAAGAGTATACTCTTCATACCTGTTAGAATATTGGACAAATCCACAACGCTTTCCTACAGGTATTTTGACATAGAGAAGCTCTCCGTATGGACTGAAGGTTTGCTTCAGAAGATCATCAGTCGCACTCGGATCAAGACCACCAACAAATACCTGCAAATAATGAAGTCTAGAAAATAAACATCCATCATGCAGCTTGAAAAAGACAAAACTATTTACAGATACCCACAGTAGTATTATTTGGATCGCTATCAGAATCAGTTCCTTGGGTATTCTGGTAAATAGCTGCAGAAGAATGGAAAGAGTAAGATACTTCACATTTTGGCTGTAGTTACAGATTCGTAAGCAAGTCCTGAATATGCCGAGAGTTATATGGTGATCCATAAACATTTGAAATTTCAACAACCAATCATGGGTGGTAACAATGCAAGTATGCCATGTGTCAACCTGATCAGATCATAACAGATACCAAAAATGACTTCAACCAGATAGTCCAGTCACAAGATGCAAAACATTGCATTCAAAATTAGAATAATCCAACAATATTCCAGGTACAAAATAAAATATTGCAATGAAGATACACTACTAACAGTCCTAGCAAAGTTTTTGTTGACTGCACTGTTGAGTGAAAGAAGGATCCAATGACAGTCACGGCAGAATTTTTGGAGCAAAAAGGTATCTGCCTGCCTCATATGTCAACTAAGGTCATTTCTTAAGAAACCATAAATTGCTTATTACTCAAAAATGAAAAGGACATAAATGCATAGGAAAATGAAGATATACCAAATCAAAGGACTGAAGCTACTGAAGCAACAGCTATGACACATAGAAAAATAGCAACGCAGGACACAATAGCAGCGTATTCAAGGCTTCTCATAAAGAGACTAGGTGAATCGATGCCAAGTAAATGAAGGATTGAAGATACAAGAAAAATAAGCAGAAGCCTGCCTTATCTATCAAAAATTGTACAACAGAAGAGTTTATATGGAAATACTTACAATTCCATTGACAGAAAAAAAATCCTAGATAAGGATGCATACCACTCGATGGCTGTTGTTGTCCACCAGTATTCTTCTTGTTGGATGCTGGTCCAAGGCGCATGGGCCTGCTCGAACAGTATTGTCCATTCATTTCAGTCATTGCTCGTGTCTGTTCATCCAAATCTGCAAACTTAACAAAGCCATAGCCTTTCGAACAGCCAGTAGTTCTGTCAAAGACAACTTTTGCACCCTTAACTGATGGATAACGACTCTTGAACGTATCTTGTAGAATGAAATCTGTAACATCCGAGGCCAAGTCCCCAACAAATATAGTATAATCTGAACCATCGTCTCCACGTTTCTCACCAGCCCCACTGGTAGCCCAATTCAATTTGAAAGGTTGATTTACATTAGGCATCATTTGACCATTATAATTCGGCAGAACTTGTTCGGCTAAAGCATGGTTGCCGAATTCAATAAAACCATAACCCTCAGGTTGCCCAGTCTGCTTGTTCCGAATTATCTTCACAGAAATAACCTGAACATTATACAAGCAAACAAAACATTAGGCCAATACATCACAATGGAGTTCCTCATACAGTAAGTATGACAAGGCAACAAATACGATATCTGATCTAAAATAAAATACTATATCCTGGTGTAAGAGTCTTCGCTTATACTCAGACACTCGGTAGAAAATTCTGCAGCAAGAGGCAACATGTCAACATGTGTATCTTTCATGGACCTTACTTAATGTTAATAGATGGACAACTCAGCTTGAAGCGGACACACATGAATAGGGTGAAATACTCCCTCCTTCCAAATTTAAGTGCTCGTTTGCACTTCAAAAATTTCCCAAAATACTCGGTTCTCATAGGCCTGAACGAGCGCAGCAGTAGCCTGGAATCTTGGAAAGTTCAGACAGAGCAGTGCAGCAATAGTAGTATTTTATTTCCTCTACGGAACAAGTAGCCACGGACGGACAGGGCTGGAGGCGTGGAACTCACCCTGACCACACATTTGCTGGGCTTGACAATATGCACTGTTACTCTGTCGGTCTGGCTGATCCGTACAGGACGGCAGCATAGGGGTAGAAAGGTAATTTGCCACCTCCACTAAGTTGCTGCGTTGAACCTAGACGTGCGGTTATTGTGGGACGGAGGGAGTAGACAGTAGATGAAAGGGGTAACTTTATACAAGACAGATAAGTTCGTTCTTCTTGCCTGATCTCATAACTTATAATAATATGCCTTTTATAAGGCTGACTCAAACTCTTAATGATCCAATGTAAGCAAAATAACCACTCGAAATATGATCCTGAAAATCACCCAAAACATATTGAAAAAAAAACTGAAACAAACTAATAGATAGAAGGCAAATTGCAATTACTACTTCGGATCACAAAGCAAAACTGGCGTATTTCCTCTTAGGTACTAGTTTATGAAATGTTATTTTGACAAGAAAGTCATCTATAAGGATTTTAGATTCATCTGTACTAACAATTGGAATTCATAGTACAAAAGGATCTAGGCCACCATGACATTTTTCAAACAGTTTGAGGGTAAAAACCTACACATAAGACCCAGATTCTTTACCATCTATGAAAGTGCATTATATTGAATTGGGACAAGTTTAGAGTCAACCATACAAAACGTCAAGCCTTGAAACTTATGAGGCCAAGAAGGCGCAATAAACTTGTCCCATCAGTCCTTTTTTTCAATATTTCAGTGTCTCCCTTCAAGCTGGGTCATACTACCATCTTTGGTACTGTAATTACCTTGTCATGAAATAGTCAATGACACTGAACCCATGCAGGGTCATACTACCATCTATTGATATGTGCTCTCCTAGTTACTGCAGTTCAGTAAATGTAGCAACTTTATCATTACACTGGAGCAACTGACAAGTGGGTATAAACTAACCCTTCCATTTCAAACACATGGATATAGTTCTTTGAGAATAACCATTAGATCAAAATTCATAAGAGAATATGACAGAGTAGTAGACTCCCAATAACAACAACAACAACAACAACAACAACAAAGCCTTTAAGTCCCAAACAAGTTGAGGTAGGCTAGAGTTGAAAACCAGCAAAAGTAATCAAGGTTCAGGCATGTGAATAGCTGTTTTCCAAGCACTCCTATCTAAGGCTAAGTCTTTGGGTATATTCCATCCTTTCAAGTCTCCTTTTATTGCCTCTACCCAAGTCAACTTCGGTCTTCCTCTGCCTCTCTTCACGTTACTATCCTGGCTTAGGATTCCACTATGCACCGGTGCCTCTAGAGGTCTCTGTTGGACATGTCCAAACCATCTCAACCGGTGTTGGATAAGCTTTTCTTCAATTGGTGCTACCCCTAATCTATCACGTATATCATCATTCCGAACTCGATCCCTTCTTGTATGACCGCAAATCCAACGCAACATACGCATTTCCGCGACACTTATCTGTTGAACATGTCATCTTTTCGTAGGCCAACATTCTGCACCATACAACATTGCAAGTCTAATCGCCGTCCTATAAAATTCGTCTTTTAGCTTCTATGGTACCCTTTTGTCACGTAGGACACCAGATGCTTGGCGCCACTTCATCCACCCTGCTTTGATTCTATGGCTAACATCTTCATCAATATCCCCGTCTCTCTGTAGCATTGATCCTAAATATCGAAAAGTATCCTTCCTAGGCACTACTTAACCTTCCAAACTAATATCTTCCTCCTCCCGAGTAGTAGTGCTGAAGTCACATCTCATATACTTAGTTTTAGTTCTATTGAGTCTAAAACCTTTAGACTCCAAAGTCCCCCGCCATAACTCCAGTTTCTGATTCACTCCTGTCAGGCTTTCATCAACTAGCATTACATCATCCGCGAAAAGCATACACCAAGGGACACCCCCTTGTATGTCCCTTGTGACCTCATCCATCACTAAGGTAAACAGATAAGGGCTCAAAACTGACCCTTGATGTAGTCCTATCCTAATTGAGAAGTCATATGTGTCTCCATCACTTGTTCGAACACTAGTCACAACATTGTTGTACATGTTCTTAATGAGCCCGACGTACTTCGTTAGGACTTTATGTTTGTCCAAAGCCCACCACATAATATTTCTTGGTATTTTATCATAAGCCTTCTTCAAGTCAATAAAAACCATGTGCAGGTCCTTCTTCTTCTCACTATACCGCTCCATAACTTGTCTTATTAAATAAATGGCTTCCATGGTTGACCTTCCGGGCATGAAACCAAATTGGTTCATAGAGACCCGCGTTATTGCGCTCAAGCGATGCTCGATAACTCTCCCATAGCTTCATAGTACGGCTTATCAACTTAATTCCCCGGTAATTAGTACAACTTTGAATATCCCCTTTATTCTTGTAGATCGGTACCAATATACTTCTCCACTCGTCGGGCATCTTGTTCGATCGAAAAATATGGTTAAACAGCTTGGTTAGCCATACTATAGCTATATCCCCGAGGCATCTCCAAGTAAAACAATTGCAAACCTTGAATTATTCACTCCGATCCCAAAAGTTAAACAGATTCATGGTTGTTGTTACTACCTTCATCATGGAAAATACTTTTACAATTCATAATTTTAACTATTTCAAAAGGTATATTTAACAAAAATTGTAAGTCAAATTGTCACATTAGTGATCCCACTACGCATATGCAAATCTCTTACATCCAAGAAAGCAACGCAACATAGGCGATAGAGTTTCAAAAAGAAAATTAAGTGAAGTAATCAAAAGGAACAATTTTTTATCACATTTTTAGTTGTACCAACATATATCATTAAAGCAGAGGTCTATAACAAATCACCAGTTCATCAGAATCTAGCATCTCTGTCTAGATTACGTAACTATTAACCTATAAACCTTGGCAATGGAAATATCATGTGAACCATCCGAACCTTGCAACGTAACATGACATAATATGAATCGTGTAAACAACAACAACAACAACAACATAGTCTTTCAGTCCCAAGCAAGTTGGGGTAGGCTAGAGTTGAAACCCACCAAGAGCACCAAGTCACGGTTCAGGCACTTTAATAGCTGCTTTACAAGTACTCCTATTCAAACATAGATCTCTAGGTATATCCCAAGCTTTCAAATATCTTTTTATTGCCTCCCCTATGTCAATTTCGGTCTTCCTCTACCTCTCCTCATATTATTAGCTTGGCTTAGGACTCCAATGCACTGGTGCCTCTGGAGGTCTCATTTGGACATGGCCAAATCACCTCAACCGATGTTGGACAAGCTTTTTTTCAATTGGTGCTACCTCTAGGCGATCACGTATATCATCGTTCTGAACTCGGTCCATTCTTGTGTGACCGCAAATCCATCGCAACATGCGCATTTCTGCAACACTTAGTTGTTGAACATGTCGAATCTTTGTAAGCCAACATTCCGCTCCATACAACATAGCCGGTCTAATCGCCGTTCTATAGAACTTGCCTTTTAGCTTTTGTGGTACCCTCTTGTCACAGAGAATGCCAGAAACTTATCGCCACTTGATCCACCTTGCTTTGATTCTATGGCTAACGTCCGCATCAATATCTCCATCCCTCTGTAGCATCGATCCCAAATACTGAAAGGTATCCTTCTTAGGCACTACTTGATCTTCCAAACTCATATCTCCCTCCTCCTGTACAAGTCCGTCAAAGTCGCATCTCATGTATTCTGTTTTAGTTCTACTCAATCTAAAACCTTTAGACTCAAGGGTCTGTCGTCATAACTCTAGTTTCCTATTTACTCCCGCCTGGCTTTTGTCCACTGACACTACATCACCAGCGAACAACATACACCAAGAGATATCCCTTGTATGTTCCTGGTAACCTCATCCATTACCAAGGCAAAGAGATACGGGCTTAAGATTGACCCTTGATGAAGTTCAATTTTAATCGGGAAGTAATCTGTGTTACCATCGTTTGTTCGAACACCAGTCACAACATTGTTGTACATGTCCTTGATGAGGGTCACGTACTTTGATGGGACTTTATGTTTGTCCAAAGATCACCACATAATATTTCTTGGTATCTTTGTCATAAGCCTTCTCCAAGTCAATGAAAACCAAGTGGAGGTCCTTCTTCTGCTCTCTAAACCGCTCCATAATCTGTCTTATTAAGAAGATTGCTTCTGTGGTTGACCTTCCGGACATGAAACCAAATTGGTTTGTTGATATCTACGTCGTTCCTCGCAGGCGCTGCTCGATGACTCTCTCCCATAACTTCATAGTGTGGCTCATCAACTTAATTCCCCGATAATTAGTACAACTTTGGATATCTCCCTTGTTCTTGTAGATTGGTACCAATATGTTTTTTCTCCACTCCTCAGGCATCTTGTTCGATCAAAAGATATTGTCGAAAGATATTGTGTAAACAAAACTATGCAAACTTTGAAAACTCATAAAAAACTGTAGGTATCTAGTATGAATCTGTAATTATCCAATCAATTGAGTCAATAACCTAAATGCAGTCAAAATGAACATGCTAGCGGTACATGCAATATGAACAATTTGCATCATGTACTACAAAATCTAATAAGTGCACTGTTAAGTTCAAATCTAGCAAATACATGAAAGTTAGCAGCAACTCGTTTTACAAGAAACTAATCCCAGATGAAGAGTGACAAAACTAAAGGTGCAAAAAACTTACATTGATCTTATTAACCATATATCACAAACACATAGCAAGAAAATTGTCAAACACATAGCTTAAGTGAACAAAAAAAAAACTATTGTGCTCCCCAGTTGACAGGCTTTGTTGTTGTTTGTTGTTGTATTGTGCTCCCCAGAATAACAGAGTAAATCTATCAGCACAATCATTACCCCATGGCAAATACATATGCTAATGTTAAGAGCGCAAGAAAAACCATAACACAAGCCCCCTGTTGGTAAGAGGTTACCACAACACCAGTTGTTAGGTGTTGTCCAAAGAGTAATATTAAGATGCAGCTAGAAAGGAATTATCATTCCTGAAGATGTGAACTAATTCTTTTATGAAACCTCACAACATCCCTCAAAGATCTACCGACATCATTTGATGTAGTACGGTGGAATTTTTCCTAGGGGCTACAACAGGCACATGAACAAAATACACACACAAAAAAAGAATAAATTCGAAGCACCACACAGTTAATACAAAAGGCTAAAAGAAGAAAACAAACAATGAAACAAACAGCATATATGATTTAAATCACCTCCTCAGCAGATGAGAAGCTATTATGTAGCTGCTTGCTGTGCCATACTAGCTGCATGACCAATTAACGGTATATAATACCTCAGTTCTATATATGGTAGCTTCTACTATGGCTTACCAGCTTTGCTCTAAAATTTTGAGCAAAAATCAACCAGACCTAATAAAGTAGTAATACAAAACATCTTTTGTCCCTATGTCGACACACACATGACACGGCTCGTCACTCGTTAGTCAAGTGCCGCTATACAAAGAGGATCTAGAACTTGTTAGTGGACTAGGTCTCATTGCACCATATTGCAGCCACCAACTGGACAGCCAGTGAATAGGTACATGCTTGATGGACTAATCTGGTGTGCACACAAATTGTGCAGAAAAAAGCTTTGAGAACCCTCATTATCCAAGTGATTTGGGAGATATGGAAAGAACAGAGAGTGTTCCAGCACAAAGAGTTGTCTGCCCTTTCACTCTTTGAAAAAATTCAAGGATGAAGCTAGAACTTGGGCACAAGCGAAGGCAAAGAAACTGTCTCAGATCGTGCCTACCTGTATGGCTGATCTCAGCCGTTGTTGTAAATGGCTTTTGCTTTTGCTTTACCCTTAAGTGATGTACCTTTCTTTCTATCAATAGAAACGGGAACTGTCTCGTGCCGGTTCAATTTAAAAAAAGTAATAATACCAGCCGAACAAATAATGAGTGGCGGTAATTTTTGCACTTAAGAATTGGCAAATCCAGATGCCAAATCCATTGCGGAGGCAAAATAAGAAATACGTAACTTCACTATGCACGTAGATAGTAACATAAATTCGACACACTTTCCTTCATCAAACTCTTAACTAACGGTAAATAATAAATTTACAAGCAGCAGTGAGGCGGCAACGGAGCATCACCTCGCCGGCCTGGGAGAAGCAGCTGTAGAGGTAGTTCTCGTCCATCCAGTACTGCAGGTCACCGATCCAGAGGGTCCTGGCCTCGTCCCCGGCCCCGCCGCCCGACGGTGCCGGCGCCGCCTGCGGCGGCGGCTGGCCCCACATAGCGGGAGGCGGAGGGCCCACCTGGTAGAACTGCGGGGGCGGCGGCGGGGCATGCCCCGCCTGGTAGTACTGCGGCGGGGGCGGCGGCGCCATTGCCCATTGCTGCTGCTGCTGTGGCGGCGGCTGCTGCATCATGGCGGCGTGGGGTGGAGCTGGTTTTGGAGTCAAAACCCTAGCCACGCGAGGAGAGAGGAGACTGGGGAGCGCGTGGGCCAAACGGATATGGATAAAAGTTGCGGCCGCTGAGGTTGCCTTAGCCGTCTGATCTAGGATGGACGGCCTGGATCGGCCCTACCGGATCTGGGGAAAGAAAGCGACCAGTGCACGGTGGTAGTAGCCTGGAACGCTGAAACGGACTTAGCACGGTTCGGGAAAAAGCTCAGATGAGCCCCTTTTTCCTTTTTTTGGTGTTTGTTTAATTTGATTGATGTTTCATCTAAGAGCAGAGCTTTCTACAAGCTCCGTTAGAGTCTCATCCAAGTTTTCAAAAGAGCCTTATAGGAGTTTAAGTTTCAAGTGTTTTTTATCCAAATCTAAAGACAACTTTATTATGCGAATAAATCATTTTTTGGGGTCAAGTTTGAAGTTTCATGTGAATGTCACAAGCGACCAGTCAAGTTTCGTAAGTCATGTCCAATATTAATCATGTTTTAGTGGAGTTTCATTTATGTTTCTACAGCGAAAAATCACAAGATCAACCTAGAAATCCAAACCAAATTAAACAAGGTTATAAAATAAAAGTGCCCAAATTTACATCTAGATGGCTTGAAGCTGGTGGACTCCATTGATGCACTCAAATATATTGAAGACTGCAAGGTTCTCTGGAGATTGATTTGTCGTAAAAGGCTCTTGTGCTCATCCTTGCCAAAGATTGGTGAAGAGTAACTCTAGTGAAATTGGGGTTTGAAGAGTATCTTATGATCTAGACGGGCTAAAGTTTAAGCCCTCAAGTAGAAGAGACAACCTTTCGAGGTTTATACTTGATAGAGATGCGGTGATCCAAGTGCTTGCTTCAATGTGGACGTAGGTAACCGACAAGTCAACGAACCACACGGACAAATCTTATTGTCTCCATCTACTTGTGCTTTTCATTGTGCCTTTACATTTCATAGTGTACAAATATTAGGCCTTGTCACCATAGAAAGTTAACTGAGTTAGTTTTTATCTTTTCTAGCGACATAGCTTAGTGTTAATCTTGCTCACTAGGTAGTGTAGTATTTGCTCACCCCAGGCTCACTAGACGCTAACTTTTTTGGAGTATGCAGCTCAATAAGCTCTATTACTTGGCGACGTGGAAACTTGTGGCCCAATCCGTGGATCGGCCGGCCCACTCGAATCTCAGCATGTTCTCATGCTCAACCCACATGGCCGGGGCCGTACCTGTACCTTGTACCTGTACCAGGTTTTCGCGTTTTGGTCGTTGATGATGAAACCACGGCATTCTCCATCCTCAGCTGTGGCTTTTGCCCTTAAAAGCCAAAGGCTCAACCAAAAGACCGAAAAGTCGAGCTGCTTTTGGTTAAAAAGCAGCTTTCACTATAGTACAAATCCAAAAGCACCTCTCCCTCTGCTTTTGAGCCCAAAAATTACCCACATGCCACTAGTTATGAAAGCGAACCGTTTTTCTCTTCTATTATGTTCGCCTCCAACTCGCTCCTCGGAGGCTCCGACACGAGCGACGCGTTCCCTGGGGCCGGCGGCGCCTCCCTCCCTGCTCCGGCAGTCGCCGGCTCCGACGGTGCCTCCCTCCCTGGCTCTGGCGGGGGGCATCCCTCTGTCCCTGCTCGGCAGTCCCAAGGGCCGTCTGCATCTCCCACAAACCCTGCTCCGGCGGCGCCTCCCTCCCTTCCTAGTTCCGGCAGGCACGGGCACGGCCTTGCTCCGACGCGGCGTGAGCTCCTTTCTCCTTCTCCATGGCTAGCCATGGACGTGACCTGCCCTGCCCCGCCAAGGGCTCTGGCGACAGCCTCGGTGGCGCGCGGCCCCTCGGTCGGCGGCCGCCGCCCTAACCCCGATGCGGCCGCAGCCCTGCCGGTGGACGCGTGCAAGAGTTCTGCCTATGGTTGCCTGCGAGAGGTCGAATAAACTCCATGTGAGGCTGACGAGTAGGGTCCACATGTAGGTGAGAGAGTATGGTAACAATTTGTACATAAAAAGCCACATCAGCTCAACCAAAGAGCTTCTGGCTTTTCTCACAGCCCACATCCCGCAGCTACTTTTTCAAAAGTCATGGCCTACGGCTGCTTTTTTAAAAACCACAGCCCAACCCAACGTGGCCTGAAAATGCTATCGCTTGACACTCCCGGTCCAACTGTCCAAGCTCCCACGTGCTTCACAAACGCACGCACTACTGAAAAATCTTCGAATTTCATGTCATATGTTCCATTGACGCCCGACTTTTACTGTATCGATCGATCACAACGAATGCAGCAAAGAAGTTTCCGTCCCCTTTACACATACTACATCTGTCCGCGTTCGTCGACAGACAGAGTTGAATTGCAATTCGTCGCATTGCATGTGCTGCTGTGGATCACGGCCTGTCCATGGACATGGAGGTAGTGCTGCACACTGTTCCTCTGTGCTGGCATCACCTCACCTCCGTCCTTCGGGTTTGGAACGGATGGACGATCTATGGCTGGACTCCGTGGTTTATAAATATAAATACGCCCATGGTCTCGCCATTGACAAGATGGTCCAAACCACAGCGCTGGATCAGTGGATCGGTTCTGCCTGCTTGCCCACCGCGTTCGCAGCACCTCTCCACGACCCCTATGACAGGGCCTTCTATATATATGCCACGCGAGCTCACGGTTCCCCAGTGTCAGGGCCCACGCACATTGCTATGCCTCGAGGGTTACTCCTCCGTCGGACCTCGCGCCGCAGGACGACGACAGCGAGGTGCACCGCCCGCCCGCCGCAGTACGAGCAGACGACCGCGTCACGAGATGCGGTGCCCAGCTTCCCCATCTGCTCCCCACTCCGCCGGTCACGGTGGCCTGGTTTCGGGCTTCCGGCCATACATTCCGAGTCGGCGGTGGTGTCCGAGGAAACCTTAGCCGCCGTCATCGCTCAGGTCTTTGCTACACCGTCTCTCTCCTCCACTTCATGTTCTTGCCACCCTTCGCTTTGCTCAGTCGCTCCAGTTTGCCCACGGCCTTGCCCGAGCCCGACCCAGATGAGGTTGCAGCTTCTCGGTCTTTGGCAACCCTTTTCTGCCGCAGCATCCCCGTGAGATGAAAAAGGTCGGCACAGCACACTGGATCCCCAGTCTAAATCTAGATCTCTGTTTACTTTTCGCTATGCTTCTTTCACGACGTCGTGACATTTCTCCATTCCCTCTCTCTAATTCATGCCTACATATCTATATGAGTAATCGTTTGCCATATATGTTTTGCAGGATATGGATTCCCTTCCCATCTTTTCTGGTGGTTGTTCTAATCGATCTTACGTTTTTGTTTTTGACTTATTTTCAACTTTATTATCAACTAATCCAGAGTTCCAGACCTTCTGCTCAACCATGAAGAGCCAATGTTTTTGTTCCCCTATATACAATTGTAATTTCCTACCCGTGCTCAGCATAGTCGTTCCCAGGTTAGAGCATTATGGCCAGTTTCGATTCACCTTTCTTTCTTCAATGTGTACATGTCCATATCAGTTAACATAGTTCTTCTCATGCAAGGTCATTCAGACGTGTCTATTACAATTTCCATTCCAAAACTGATCTCTAAGCATCGTCATCAAAGTAAGTGTATATTGTTGTTTTTCGGACCAAACTGCTTTTTCCCCCCTGACCTAATATCTAGACTGTATTATCAGGACCTTGCGGCCCAAACTATACATCGATGCATGCTTCATGTTTCTTTGACAAGATAATAACTCTGTTACTCTCTTTAGACTAAGCGGACTATATATGACTGGAGGAAATTCCTCGTCTTTGCAAAAGCTTCATATGACATCCAAGGTGGGCAGGGACCTCAAACACTCTTTTTAGCCTACGCACAAACTGTTTATTTCTTTGTGTTTTTTTGGGTGGAAAGATCGTCGTGTACCTAGGAGTACACGATTGTTATTGTAAATAATGTAACGTTTTTACTTACTTTCATCTCATTTGTTGGGCACATACAAGAATGATAAACCTTTTTCCGCAAACTGGCTATTGCGTTGTTCTCAGAAAAACTAATTCTTATGCTAATTAAAAGATGCTAACGTTTTGTTATGCGACACATTGTTTTTAGGTTAGCCTTTTTCTTCATCATGGCATCCGCTGCATATAACTTGCTCTCTCTTTTTGTCTATCAAATGGCCTGTTCGTTTGGCTTATAAGCCGTACTTTTTCAGCCAACGAACAATATTTTTCTCTCACAACAAAATCAGCCAACAATAGTTTTAGCCATGGCTTATCAGCAAAACTAACAGGGCAATAATCCTCTGCCTAGCTTCACCCACATTTATATCCATCAAATCACACACGCCGGCCTCTTCTTGTGACCAATGCTGCAGGAGACGAGCCGCATGGCCACCTTGTCACCGAGCGCCGCGCCAGCTCCAGCCGCGGCAACCGCGGCGGCCGTCTTCTTCGTCGTCGCGTTGATGATAGCCCTGTACCGGGGCAATAACAAGTTGGTGACGATGACGACGTCCAAGGACGGGCCACCGCCGGGGCCGCGGGGCTGCCGGTGCTGGGCAACATGCACCAGATGGTGGCCAACAAGCCGGCGGTCTCCCGGTGGCTGCACCGCCTGCTGGCCGAGTCCGGCGGCGGGGACCTCGTGTGCGTGCGCCTCGGCCCCGTCCACGTGGTGGCCGTGTCGTGCCCCGCGATGGCCCGCGAGGTGCTGCGCAGGAACGACGCCGTCTTCGCGGACCGCCCCGCCACGTTCACCGCGGCCGCGTTCAGCGTCGGCTACCGCAGCGCCAGCATCGCCCCGGCCGGGGACCAGTGGAGGAAGATGCGGCGCGTGCTCACCGCCGAGGTCCTCGCGCCGGCCACCGAGCGCCGCCTCCGCGCCGCAAGGGAGGGGGAGGCCGACCACCTCGTGCGCTACGTCCGCGCGCTGTGCTGCCGTGCCGTCGACGTGCGCCACGTTGCCAGGCACTTCTGCGGCAATGTCATCCGGAGGCTCACCCTGGGGCGGCGCCACTTCGCGTTCGCGAGCCCCCAGCCGGCTGCGGCCGCCGGTCCCAGGCGCGACGAGGCGGAGCACGTGGACGCGCTCTTCGCGACGCTCAGCTACCTCGACGCCTTCTGCGTCTCCGACTACTTCCCGGCGTTCGTCGGTCTCGACCTCGACGGCCACGAGCGGGTCGTCAGGCGGGTGATGAGGACGCTGAACCGCCTGCACGACCCCGTCGTCCAGGAGAGGGCCGAGGAGTGGCGTCTGCTGCGGAAGGCCGGCGAGCGACGCGACGTCGCCGACTTCCTCGACGTCCTCGCCTCGCTCGACGACGCGGCGGGCCGGCCTCTGCTCACCGTCGAGGAGATCAAGGCGCAAACCATCGCAAGCTAATCCATCTACCACAACACACACATTCTCCCTAGCTACTTGCCGAAACAAACGTAACAACATGGTGTCATTGACTGTACAAGTACCCTTTAGTGCTGACAAAAAGCTTCGTAACACGGTACATGCTGACGAACCAACAAACGGAAAAAAGGCAGCAAGTAGGGTTATTATTAACTGGTGCAATAGTGAAGCAATGTAGAAGTTCCTTGCTTTATATATGCTGCTGACTGCTGTGAAAGCTAGCTGGCTGGCCACCAAGTGCTGAAGTACTGTCTTCACAAACTGACACACGTGGAGACATACCTTCATCTCGCATCTACGTGTGCACGTACTTTCTGTGACTCATTGAGACGGGTTCAAGCGCCCCCCACACCCAACTTCACGGGTGCTTGCATTTTTCTGTATTTATTTTAGTATTTAACGGTGCTATTCTTTCCGTAGTAGGTAACGTGTCCGTCGACAGCGAGACGCGCGCTCGTGTATATGAGCGTCTGCAATTGGGCCTCGCAAAAAAAAAGTATTTGCCTCACAAATAGACGCTAGAGCGTTCACAGTTTAAACATTCAGTTTCTATTTTGGGCATCACTCTAAACATACACTAGGGAAGGCCTTATATTTTCGCTTCATATTCATGCCTCATCATGCATGCAGATGAAGATCCACCTAAGCAGTGACCGAACAAGCACAACATTCAACACGCGTGCAGGGCATACATAATGGGCAGGCATTGCTGCATATGCATCCAAGTACGTGGGCACGGACATATACAACAATGGGCAGGCATTGCTCATCGCTGCATATATATGCATGTGGGCACGTTCTTTGACTGTACGTGACGTGGCACCGATCGCGGCCGGGTAGCACGACCATACGCTTGCATGCAGGACATCATGATTGCGACGGTGGACAACCCGTCCAACGCTGACCGAGATGATGAACCGGCCGGACGTCATGGCCAAGGCGATGGCCGAGCTCGACGCCGTCGTCGGCCGGGACCGCCTGGTCGTGGAGGTGGAGTCCGACGTGCGCGACCTCAACTACCTCAAGACGTTCCGGCTGCACCCGTACCACCCCTTCAACCCGCCGCGCGTCGCCATGGCGGACACGACCATCGCCGGCTACGCCGTCCCCAGGGGCAGCCGCGTCGCGCTCGGCCGGAACCCCAGGGCGTGGGACGACCCGCTCGAGTTCCGCCCCAAGCGGCACCTGCTGCTGGCGGCGAGCGGCGTCGTTCCATGTCACTAGGCAAGTGGAACGCGAAAGCCAATTCAAGAATGAATTGCTTGAAACACAGATTGATGGACGTACTCCTGCGCCCAGATTGCATTGCATTGCATTGCATTGCATTGCAGAGCTACCTCGGTACAAATTTAAGCTCATTCAGGTGAACGAGCAGAGATGGCTGCGCATACTGTGGAGCTATGAATCCGGTCTCAAATGCTTATGCCTGTGGGCAGAAACTGCTGTTCTAGGATGCCAGAGCCAGACCGCTACTTCAAGCCTCGTTCTGTCCTAGTTGTAGCAAGTCAGGAGGGACATGGAGATGCTCGGAGTTATCATCTCCTAGGGCATGCAGAAGCAGGGTATAAGAAATGGAAATGCATGCGCTCATATGAAGAGATTATATATGGAACAACTGTACTACCTTTCTTAGGTTCAACTTTACCATTGTCACTTTTCTTTGTGTTTAGGAAGCGTGCTGATGACGAGACTCATGAAGAGATATGGCTGCGATATCAAATGCAAGCTCTTAGCAAACTGTCAAGTTACATATACTTCACTTATGACTATAACTCAACCACTCAAGGACGTCCAGAAATAAAACAAGACACGTAGTTTGCTAACCTTTCTGGCTTTGACCACCTTTTTCTCAAGTTCAGCCTTGGCACGTGACTGCCGCCGTCTTAAAAGACCATGGTACTGCTTGGCATTTACATAAACAGGCTCCTCGGATACTTCAAGAGGTAATGGCATTCGAGATTGAGTCCGTCCAGGTAGCTGAAAATGAGCCTGCACAGACAACGTAAACGTAAGGCGCTTTATACACTAAAAAAGAAAGAGTACGTAGGGCGCTTTATACATTAAAAAAGAAGAGTACTACAACACAAGCGGAAGGGAAATGCTTTGAGTACAACAATTTGACTACAACAACGGAAGTACAACCATGCACCTAAACCGTTATCATCCATGTGATTTTAACAGTTGGAATCTTGAGTTGTACGTGTAGCAGCGCTCTTTGTTTTTCCAAGTTAATTCAGGCAATTCGGTCGAGCTTTGAACATAGAGGTATTGATAATACATGATTACATAAATTGAATAAAGTGAAGATGAATTCGTCTATTCAGAGTGTTGTACTTGATCCAAAGACATCTGAGCACTACCATCCATAGTTACGACAACCTTACTTTTTTCTTCTTTTGACACCTCTAATGGGACAAGCTGTAGCGTGTGTTCATGTGCACATACACACCAACCCTACACATGCACACAACCAAACGTTTCTGCTTACCATAGGTTAGCATTTTTTTTACCAAAAAAAAGGAACACAAGTATTTTCAATTCAATTTTGCTTCCATTTTCTGGATCATGTGCTGTAATTTTAATAGGAAGCATGCTCATAAGACTGACAACTGTTCAATACATCTCCACTCTCTTTATCTCAGATTTCTCGCGCATCTATTAACGACCTGGGATTTATGATTGTACTAGCTTCCCTTCTACTGGCCTTAAATCCTAGTCAAGTAGTTGGTTAGTCCTCAATCTGATTTTTTTTTCTTCTGCATGGCCATTGCATCTGGTTCAGGCTACAGACTGCATGCAACATGGCAGTATTAATCTGATTATCTGAAGCAAATTTTGGTACTTGTACAGAAGGTGGGACAGGGGAAGTGTTGTCTTCACTTATATTTTCTTGAGCTGCAACCGTTGACCTCAGATTTGTCCAGGTGCTGCAGCCATCTCCTGTCAGCCCTCACTTAAATGATAGGCATTTTGAATAGCCGATAATTTTTCATCTGTGATATCTTGCCTTATATCACTTATAACTGATGACTTTATTCTCGTGAAAACATTGAGACTTCAGCTGTTACAAAATTAGTTGCATAATGTTACCCAATTGGGATTGGAGAAAACATCCTGTGGACTACTTGTGTGTGATAAACTGCTTGTCACTACTAGCTGTTTAATTGGTCTATAGAAAATTTGTTACTGCTAATATCAAGTTAATTTCGTACTGCTTTGGCTATTCGTTAGAATGCTGGTTAGTACTAGTTGTTAGTTACTGTTTTAGCAAGCTGTACTTGAGGTACAATTCTGCTTTGGTGAATTATCTGATTGCAGCCTTATGCCAAAAAATATGCACGAATCGTACTGGTACTTTTCTGGGAGCTCATTTACCAGCTTGCAACTAGACCATTCTGAACTTGTTATGTTCCTACAAGTATTGGTTTACTATATATATGCAACAAACATGAATATAACTCTTGTTTCCATCTTTCATGGTTCATCTGCCATTCTAAATTTGTTATGTCCCTACAAGTATTGAGTGGTGATGGTTTAATATTTTTCGTTGGAAATCTGAGCATTAGTCGCTAGTCATTTCTTTTTTTTTATGTAGAGGGCAGCTGGAGATGGATCCTCTCAAGTTTCAGCAAACCTATACCACAAGTCATTTGGGCTGCAACCAGCATGTTTGATCAGCATGTGTGCTGTGGAGCAAAAGTATTTTCGTAGCAACCATCAAGTAACAAGATTATTATAGAAATTATCTGGTTTCTGCCATCTAGAATGTAGCCTATGTTGGTTGTGCAACAAACACTCCATTTTGCTAAGTCAGTGCCTATGCTATGTAGGGTCTGGTGCAAGCGGTAGAGTCTTACCGCCTGTGACTGAAAGGTCCCGGGTTCGAGTCGTAGTCTCCTCGCCTTGCACAGACGAGGGTAAGGCTTGCCACTAACACCCTTCCCCAGACCCCGCACAGAGCGGGAGCTCTCTACGCTGGATACGTCCCTTTTAGTGCCTATGCTATGTGCTAGTATGAAAGGCTGTTTAGGAAGCAGTAGCTTCATGTTGCTTGGTCTACTTTATGACTTAGGGATATAGTAGCATGTAGCATCATACTAAGATGTATGACTTTTCTATCAACTTTAGTTGTCTGCTGACTTCGTGTTGCAGTTAAGGCAGTTGCTTCATGTATGACTTAGGTTGTCACATGTTGCCAGATGCATGATTGTGTACACAAACCTTATGACGTGAAAAGTATTTTTTTCTGTTGAGATGTACATTCATGTAATTCTTTTGATATTTGACTTTGCTGAATGATGTACACTGATATGGCGTACAAGACAAATTAGATGTAATAAATATTGACCTCCATGTGATATATATGTGTTTGTGTACATTTATGTGACGTGGAGGACACTATATTAAGCTTGAATCCGGGTTTGATATGTGATAAATGTTTTCTCATCGTATTTATTTTTTTAGTATATTTATGGTGTCCTGTTGAACAATCTGTCGCTATAGACACATGGACTATTGGATGATCTATCGGTATATGCTCGGTAACAGAGCATTTGTTGCTAAAAAGTAGCAATAGACTATCTGTCGCTATAAATATTCACAGACAATCTATCGTTAAAAAAGTATTGGCATGTTCATTTGGTTGGTTTCTCGGATTTGGTTTGGAAATTTGGTGGTGCTAGTTTATTGTGAGAGGAAAACTTTGTTATATTTGGTTTGAAAATTGTTTGAAACCAACAATTTAACAGTTGATTGTCTGTTGCTAAAGATTTTTAGTAACAAAACTTAATCGTCTACACAAGTCTGTCGCTATAACCTTTTAGCGACGGATGGTCTGTCGCTATATCCGCTTTTAGCGTCAAATCGTCCATCGTCAATCTCGGTGTTGTGGTGTAGTGGACTTCGATGTCCATGAGAAGGTTGCCAAAGGCGTGATGAGCACCCTTGATCGACTCCATGGCCCCATCATAGATGAGAGGTTCCATTACCGTCGTCAGAAAGTTGGCAAGAAGAAAGATGTTGAAGTTGAAGACATTCTTGACGTGCTGGTTTCTCTTGAGGATGAAGATGGACAGCCACTGCTGTCCACTGATGAGATTAAAGCACAAAACAGTGGTGACTGGTGAGTCATATTATTGAAGGGCATATTATTATCTTATCATGAAACAACTAATTGATTAATTAGTATGTTGTATATATATAGGAACTGATGTTTGGATCAGTGGTCTACCCGTCAAACACAGTTGAGTGGGCCCTTGCTGAGACGATGAACAAACCTGACGTGATACACAAGGCAATGGAAGAACTGGATACAGTCGTCGGGGAAAGAGAGGCTAGTCCAGGAATCAGACATCTGCAGTCTCAACCATCTGAAATCATGCATTCGAGGGGCCTTCCGCTTGCACCCTTAACATGCGATCAACGCGCCCCGCGTGGCCACGTCGCCTTGGAAGACACCACCGTCACAGGTTACCTGATCCCTATCGTAAGGCCTTGTTTGATACGCATGTATTTGTCTCAATCCACATGTGTTGAAGTAGATTGGAGTGAAATTAAACTAAATTTCATTCCGTTACACTCCAATACATATAGATTGAGTTGAATACACATGCATCAAAACAAGACCTAAGCCGAAGCCGGATCGGGCTGGGCAAAAACCCCAGAGTCTGGCCAGAACCGCTTGAGTTCCGGCCTGAGCGCCATCTGAACGATGGGGCTGGGGTCGTCGTTCTCGCAGAACCAGACCTACGCTTCGTCACCTTCGGCACCGGGAGGAGAGGCTGCCCTGGTGTATCGCTTTGTACCTCCTTCACAATGCCTTTGTTCGCCAGGCTTTTTCTGGGATTCAGTTGGACCAAGCACCCAGGTGTTGGCACTGTCAGTCTGCAGGAGTCGCCTACTAGCCTTGCACTAGCCGCGCCCCTTGTTTTGCAAGCTAAACCACGCTTGGCTGCTCACCTCTACATGGAAAATTAAGTGGAACTGTGGAAGTACTGTTTTCTCTAGCCAGGACCACTAGCGCCTTTGCGAATTTGATGCTTATATTACATTTGAAAATCATCTCTCTTAAATCTTATATTGTCGTTCAGAAGATAATTTTTATGATATTTATTTTTTCATCAGTTCATAGCATGCGGATACCTAGTAACATTTAATTTGTACATAAGCCTCTTCCATGTGTGCACAAAACATCTCATTTATACTTTGAAGGAAATTTCTTGATCTTCGAGAATTATGTTATATTTCCTTCTATTCCGAATTAAAAGTGCATCAACGTATCTTTTGAGGTAACATTTATAAGTGATAAAACTCATGAACAACACAGAAAACATTTTGGACAACTTATTAACGAATTTATTGAACAAGAAGAAATTTAGAAGGTATATTTGAATTATATGAAATAAATCACAAATTAATTGGATAGAAGCAGGCTGCACAGTTACATAGAGGCAGCATATGGGCATGTGTTATACTTTGACCAGGTCGGCACCTAGTGCCACACTGACCATGTATTCGTCCTCCCCGTCTGCTTCCGCGAGTGTGGGCCCACTTCGACATTTCTTTTCGCACGCACCCACCCTTCCACCCACTACCCTGCTTCCCGTGCGCCATCACTGTTGGCGGTCCCTAAAGGCTAAATCCGACCGTCAAATAAGATAGAAAAAGAGGAGAACTAGCATGCCTTATTCATATATTTTATTTATATTAACATATTTCCACATGTATTGGAGAATAAGTGTTTTGCAGGGCACATTTATGAAAACCACCGAAAACATGCTCAAAATGCGCAAAGGAATAGAGCGTAAAGCTATCCTGCGCAAGCACTAAGGGGGATAGGCCCACCTACCTAACAAAATTGGGCCCAAGGACGCACAGACACGGCCCAGGCCCAACCAACCACCGCTTCGAGGAAGACGGTAGCGTGGAGGCGCCACCTGGGGTCGCCCGACCCCAGGGGCAACCCCAGGGGCCGCCAGTCCCGAGCCTGCACGTGGGACCCCTCATCAAATGCCCCATGACGGTGGAGGGCTGATTCTCGGGAATATCCCCCCGCAAACCGATGTAGGATTCGTATATAATAGAGGGAGAGGCTCCCCCCGCCAACACACACCACACTTGGCGCCTCTCTCCCTCTCTGCTCCAGTATTTTTACTTTGTAGTATCGTCGGTGCGAAATTTGACCAATAAGTAAATATTTGTAGTTTTACCGTGCGTTGTGATCGGATATGGCCTAGCACTCAATGACACAGGATTTATACTGGTTCAGGCAACGTGCCATACGTCCAGTTTCAATCGGTTGGTGACTTTATTCCTGTGCCCGGGCGCTCGAAGTTTGCTGTGGGGTTACAAACAAGTAGGAATGAGAAGGGGGTGTTAAGGGCCCGGTTGGACTCTGAACTAAATGGGCGAGAGTGACGGGTGCTCTAACATGCGCTAAGTATCGGAGCGTATGCTCTATGTAGCTGTCGAGTTCTAGAGCTATTGAGTTGTTCGAGTCCTCAGGTCGTTGAGTCCTCTAATCGTCTAGCCTTTTTTCTTGGAGAGAGAGTGCATCCCCTTTTATAGTTGAAAGGGATGGTCTTACAAGTCAGAGAGAAAGAGAGAAAGTGTGTACGTGTGCTACCTAGTCTTTTTGCCCATGATGTCGGGTACGAGATGGTCATCAGCGCTCACAATACTATTTATGTTCAGACACATCTGGTAGGCTCTACCGTGTTCGCCTGGTACGACAAACGTCGGCGCCTACAATACTGTTTATGCTCTGACGCGTCTGGAAGGTTGTATAGTGCCCGTCTAGCATGGCCTGGTGGCACCGTCCTATAGGTGCGCAGGGCATGGCAGGGTACGGTCCTCGGTATTGAGGTTGACTTGAGCGCCTTACCTTATCTGCTCCGCCTGATCCCCGAGCCCTCACCGAGCGGACGTCCCCGGTCAGTCGTTCCTAGTTGGTCCCGACCTTGTCGATCAGGAAAGAGTAGCAAATAGAGGTCTGGCGTATCCTGGGTTGGAGAAGGAGGTCAGAGCCGGACTGCGGTCCCACATTGGCTAGGCCTTTCGGTCGGGGACCGGATCGTTGTCCCGGCATATCATTATGTATCTGGGCCAGCCCAGGCGCGCGTTGTCACTGCGCCGCCTGCTGGGCAGGGTTTTGTAGGGAAGCGGGTCCTTTGGGGACCCCGGGTTTAAGAACCCGACAGGAGCCCTCGAGCCCCTTTGGGACTTCTGTGAAGTCGTGAAGGGGTTGTTTACACTTGTTTCACAAGTGCACCCGGTGGGTGTATGGTTGTGGATCGCCGTCGGACAAGATGGAGCGCAAACGCAAGGGTCTGGCGAGACAGAGCACGAACCCAAGGGTCAGGGGCGGCCGAGGGGTCGGGCGAGACGGAGCATGAACTCAAGGGTCAGGCGAGACGGAGCGTGAACCCAAGGGTCCGGCGTGGCCGAGGGGTCGGTGGAGACGGAGCACGAACCCAAGGGCCAGGCAAGACGGAGCCCACGACCTTGGGGTCAGGCGAGATAGAGCACGAATCCAAGGGTCAAGCACGGCCGAGGGGTCAGGCGAGATGAAGCGCGAACCCAAGGGTCAGGCGAGACAGAGCCCGTGGCCTTGGGGCCGGGCAAGATGGAGCGTGAACCCAAGGGTCAGGCATGGCCGAGGGGTCGGGCGAGATTGAGGTGAGCGTAGCCCCTGAGCCTGCAGCCGACTAGAGAGTTGGTCGGAGGTTGAGCACCTTGGTGCTCTTTTCTGGGGCTGTGGACTCTTGTGCTCTTTTCGGTTGGGGTGTTCGCCCGTGTTGGTTCCAACCGCAATCTACGTGGTCGGTCGAGTTCCTATGTAGGGATCTGGCAGCTCGGGCCCCCGGGCCGCATTGGGCTCGGTAGGGGTCGGCCGAGTTTTATGCGTCACCCCATCCGCGGTTTCTGCAACCGGAGGGGTTGAGCTAACGACACTTGCCTCGATGGCTCGAGTGTCACGCTCGGCGAGCTCGCTAACGTGTATGTCCGAGTGGAATCTAGGTCTGTCGTTCATGACGGGGTCGACATAGCCCTCATGTGGCATTCTACTGCTCCTTAACCCGCCTCCCGGTAGATGCCCGAGTCATTCCAGAGACTGACTCAGGTGGCCCGCTGGCCTCCCCTCGATGGAGATTCTGTGAGTTTGGCTCGAGGTTAGGATCAAACAAGAAGGTCGAGATGACTCTATCCGCTTCTGAACGGATCGGGCGAGGGCCGCTGGGGCTCATCTGTGTTTTCTCTCCTGGCTCTATTTGACGCGAGGCGGCCTCGAGCCCTTCGTGGGCCAGCCTTCGAACCTCAGTCGGTCGTCGTTCATATTGAATGAGACGACTGTCACTTCGTGATGCGACGCGAAGCATTGTGATGCAACAATTGCATATGCAATGCTTTGATGTATGGGATGAATGTATGGATGAATGTATGAATGCATGCATGAGAATGGATGAATGAATGATCATGCACTGGAAAAGCAGAACGCGGGTTGGTAAAGTTACCTCGATGGCTCGAGTGATGGGTTCGGGGAGCTCCTATCGGATATGTTCGAGTGGGATCTGTGTTCATCGTTCGTGATGGGGTTGGCATAACCCGCATGGGGCATCCCACTGCTCCTTACCCGTCTCTCGGCAGCCGCCCGAGCCATCCGATCGACTTAGGTGACTCGTTGGCTTTTCCTCGATGGAGATTCTGTCGAGGGCCCCTCTTGACCCTGCCTGGGAAGGCGGAGGGTCGTTTGCGTGTGGTTGTGCCTTATTTCTCGTGCCTAGGTTGCGGTAGTGGTGGGCCCTGCCCAAGCCACGCCCCGTTAGCCAGGTGACATTTCATCGAGCAGGCCACGTCCTGTCAGTCAGGGCCACGTCCCGCCACACACCTTTCCGTGTTAAATAGGGGGAAGGGAGAGGATTTTTCTCCTATTCTTTCACCTTTCTTCAACCACTGCCATTCCTCCTTCCTCCTTTTCGCCAAGTCTATTTGTGTGCCACGGTGGTTTCTAGGATAGAGGAGGGTAGAGCGAGGGAGAGGAAAACTCACAGATTCATTCCAACGTGGATGAGGAGGTGCTGGCCGCCTTTGCCGAGAAGGGGCTACTCCTGTCGAAGGAGGTGGCGCATTGGAGGGCTCCTACGCCGGGGAGGTTGTTCCGCAACACCGGGTCGACGGGGTCGTCTCCTTCCTTGCCTTCCATGAGCATGGGCTCGGGTATCCCACGCACTGGTTCCTACGTGGGCTCCTCAATGAGTGGGGCCTATAGTTATAGCACCTCAACTTGACTGGGGTACTACACATCGCTGGTTTCATCACCATCTGTGAGGGCTTCCTCAGATGGAGCCACATGTGGACCTCTTCCGGTAGATTTCTAGCGGGCGAGCCCTGTCCAAAGGGAAGCCACCTAGAAGCGCACCGGTTGGGGGGTTTGCCCTACAGAAGAGGCTGAAGCCATTAGTCCCCTACCCCACGTACTCCCCCTATGACTATAACCGGGGGTGGTATGGTGAGTGGTTCTACATTAGGAACCCAGCGGAGGCGCCATTCTCGATGTTCACCGGGGAGAGGCCAGAGTGGAGGGAAAGCTGGTCATGGGGTCCTACCCGTCGATAGAACAAGTTGGAGATTATCGAGACGGAGCTTCGAAGGCTCATGCGGCATGGCCTCGACGGGTTGCGAGTCTTCCATACCTTCTTCCACCATCGGGTTGCCCCGTTGGCGGAGAGAACGCGACCGATGTGGGAATACTCTGGCCCGGTGGATCCCGACCACACATCACCGAAGGAGTTGCCAAAGGCTGAAGTCTAGAGTCATCTCGATCGGGTGCTATAGTTGAGGGATGAAGACTCCCTCGAAGGGACGCCTGGTCCCCTTCATGCCGTGAAGCTATCCAATTGGTATGTTTTTCCCCGTGACCTTGTCCTTCTTGTTTTGATGTTTTGACTAATTTCAAGTTGCCCGTTTTGAAGGGACTC